GAATAAAGGCATTGAGATGAGCGAGGAATTTGATGCCAAAGAATATAGTGTCAGTGAGGATTCAGAAGAAGACAAGGAAGACGAGGAAAGCGAGGATGACCAGTTGGACAATGAAATGGGAGAAGCAGGATCTGACGCTGAAAAAGCTGATGAAAAGCCGTGTGAAGATGAAGACGAGGATGCAGGAGATATGAAGGAGAAGAATGAATCTGGACCATCTATTGACGACAAGGACACAAGGTCAAGGGAGCTAAGAGCCAAGGATGATGATGTTGACACTGCCGATGAGCCTGACGAGTCCAATACTTCTGACAAACCGGAAGAAGGAAACGATGAGAATGTGGATCAGGATAATTTTGATGACACCGAAAATTTAGAAGATAAAATCCAGAACAAGGAAGAAGCACTTGCAGATCCACTTGAACCAACTCCTGATTTGGGCAATGAACAGGCTGATGATGACATGGAGGTTGACGCAACAGATGACGTTGAAAAGGAAGATGCAGATCAGCAGGAAGAACCTTGTCCAGAAGATCAAAAGCATCCTGAAGAAGGTGAAAATGATCAAGAAACGCAAGAGCCTGCTGAAGAAACAATGGAGGATAGGGCTGAAGATGTGTGTGAACCACCCCAAAAAGAAGACCCTGGAAATGATCTTGAACAGAAATCTGAAACTGAACCAATAGAAGGGAAAGAATCTGAAGATATGAAGCCGAACTTCTCTAATGATGATATTTCTGGCGTGGAGTCTGGCTCAGAAAATCCTCATGGATCTAATGGGTTGGGGGCAGGGAATACAGCACCGGAAGAAATTTTGCCAGCTACTAATGCTGCGGATGAACTCACAGGTTCAATGGATCTGCCTTCGGGTGCTAATACTGAGATGGACCTTACAATGACTAACATGGCAAGTGGTGAGGCATTGACGGACAACATACCAAAGACGGAAATTCCTCAAAACCAGTCATCTAATACTCAACAAACCAAAGCGAATCCTTATAGGAACGTTGGTGATGCATTGAAGGAGTGGAAAGAAAGAGTTAGAGTCTCCACGGACCTTGGAGAAAAGCAAGAGGCTGAAAATGAGATAGAAGACTCTGATGCTGCTGAATATGGATTTGTTTCTCAGTTGGATCCAGGAACTTCCCAAGCTCTAGGACCTTCGTTGCCTGAGCAAGTTAACACAGATATGAGAGAGGGAGAATCCGAGGAAGAAAGACCAGCAGGTAATCAAGATGAAGCCTCTCCGATGGATATTGATGCTGTGAACCCGGAAATCAAACCTGCTGTCCAGTCCAAACCGTCGATCAGGAATAGCATTGCTCAACCGGTCCAGGAACCAGATACAGAAAGGACCCACCAAGAGAACTCACCTATTCAGGACTTCGGTGATGGTAACAGCAGGATGGACTCAATGGTCTCTGTTGACAATACTTTCTGTGGGGAAGATGCTTGTAATCCAGACTGGATGCAGGTGACTGACAAGGACTCGGAAAACAATCAGGAGGATGAGGAAGATCCTAATGCCAGAAGTAATGCAGTTGTTCATTGGAGGAGATGTGAGTTGCTTACTGCGAAACCGTCTCAGGAGCTGGCTGAGCAGCTGCGACTAATCTTGGAACCCACACTTGCTAGCAAGCTCAGTGGTGATTACAGAACGGGTAAAAGGATCAACATGAAAAAGGTCATCCCATACATAGCAAGTCACTATCGGAAAGATAAAATTTGGCTGAGGAGGACGAAACCAAACAAGCGTGACTACCAGGTTGTTATTGCTGTGGATGATTCACGTAGCATGTCGGAAAGTGGATGTGGTGATTTTGCAATCAGAGCTTTGGCTACTGTGTGCCGAGCAATGTCACAGCTTGAGATGGGAAGTTTGGCGGTTGCAAGTTTTGGGAGGAAAGGAAGCTTAAAGATGTTACATGATTTTGGTCAGTCTTTCACCACAGAATCCGGTATCAAGATGATCTCAGGTTTAACATTTAAACAAGAGAATCTCATTGAAGATGAACCAGTTGTCAATCTGCTGAGAAACATGAACGAAATGCTTGAGAATCTGGCCAGCACAAGACGACAGTCTTCTGGGAGCAACCCGCTTCAACAGCTTGTACTAATCATCGGCGATGGCAAGTTCCATGAGCGAGAGAAGTTGAAACGATCCGTGAGAAAGTTTCTCCAGCAGAAACGTATGGTGGTATATCTACTTCTCGATGACGCTGAACAATCTGTTCTGAATCTAAAGGTATGTCCCAATCTTCCTATCTACGTCTCTTAAATATGAGATGAGATTGAAACTAGTCGTCATGAAGCTAAATCTGTTTTTTCAATTTTGTAAACAGGAATTTGTGCAAGAATTTGTACCAATGGGAGGTCCTAAAACTCCTCAGAAACTTGGCCCTCTGAAGCAAATAACATATATGGATTCCTTCCCCTTCCCATACTACATTGTGCTGAGAGATATCGAAGCCTTGCCGAGAACTCTTGGTGACGTCCTGAGACAGGTAACTTTTTTCATCATCCATTTTGTGTTTTTTTTGTGGGGGGAAGAAGAAAACACTTGTCAAGTTGTTGAAATGTGACATTGTCTAAATTTTTGCTTTGTTTATTTTTGCAGTGGTTCGAACTGATGCAAAACTCGCGGGACTAAACACTTGTTGGATGAGAAGGTCGAGGGCTGAGATTTTGTTCCGTCAGGTCTAACTCTTGCTTAGCTTTAGGACTAGACTTGTAAGTTGTAACTAGACTTGTAATCTTGTAATGTTGTAAAACAAAGACCATAGTTATTCACATGGAACCACAATGCTGTTTTGATTTTTATATATATCAAAGGCCCTCTTTTTTTCTCTTTCGAATGCCATAACTGTTACTGCTACTTGTTGGATCTCCCGCTTGAAACCTGCTTTAGATTCTGTTCCATTTTTCGGTTCGGTTCCTGCTTAACTATCAAAGTGGTACACTAATGTAGAGCCGAACTGGAACATAAGTTGTACTTTCTGTAAATAATACTTTTTTCTTCTAAATTTCAGTGAAAATATATTTATAAGAAATATCAAATTTATGGAAAATTTTCAAGGAAGAAAAACATAATGATATTTTTTTCACCGTTTAATTTCAAGGTTACATGTGACTTTTTGGTCACCGGTTTTTCCTCGGTTAAAAGTTGATCTATGGGTTTATTTATGACTTTGTTTACAAACTCCAAACAACGCAAAAGATCCCTTCAAGATTATGAACAAATCAGATTGACAGCATTGCGCTGAAGATTGAAAATAGTCCAAAACCTATGTAGTAGTGGAAGCATTTCTTTGTTTATTTAATCGTTTACAAAATGGTTGGTGGTATTGTTTCGGGTTACCGACTATTTTTTTGTTTGTTAAAGATTACCGACTTATACTGTGCAAAAGAAAAGAGAATGATCACCAAACAAAGTGAGTATGTATTGATAGCAAAGAAAATTTCGAAGTTTCTTACTAATAATGTGGGGATTGAGTAATCTACCATTTTAGCTTGGCCTTTAGGATGGGATTGTTTTCCACGTTGTAGAAAAGCAATGTTCAGTCGCTGTGTTCACATACATTCCTCACTTTGAATTTTGAATTAAGGTTACGTAATCATCTTTTTCTAATTGTTAATTCTACAATCTTTGACTAGATACTCTAACTATATATTTAATCAGATTTCGGTTTATCTATTTTAAATGGAATCTCGATGTACCTAAAGATGCTTATTGGATGTCACTATAAGAATGATACGCTAGATTTATTACTTCTTAATTATCATTAGATCTTCCCATTTGATACATTAGAAACGTGTTAAACACTTAAAACTGTCTGGTTGTATTACTGTATAGAGCAGTGTCCAGAGAAAATTCTCTCACTTTAACTTGTGCTCCTGATGAAATACTTAACATGGTTTTAAAATGAGAGAAGAAGAAAGCGACTACGTTTATTTGGAAAAAACAAAAGAGAGGAAGAAAATTTTTGTTAGTTTATAATATAGTTAAGCTCAGTAGTCTTATGGAATGACTTTGTTCACCAAACATGTTCTGCAAAGTGCAAAGATGAAAGTGACGAGAAAAGTAATGAAACAGTGACAATAATCTTGTAAAAAGAATACTCAGATATGTTTATTTTTAGTTCAGAATGTAGAAACTGGGGCAGCTATAGTTTTCTCGAGATTGTGATGATGCATAGAAATTCTCTTTGCTTTTCATATTTCTTTCCCAAGATACGCAATATCTTTACCCATCAATGCTTTTGCTTTCCTAATTGACGGCAAATCTTCTTTCTAATCATAAAAGTATATAAATCGATTAAAAACAACACCAATTCTTTATTTTCAGCTTAAGTATAATCCAAGGGGGAAAATTGTTCCGCATAGAGGGCTAAGAACAGGGGGATCCATTATCTCCTTATGTCTTTATTCTATGCACTGAAGTTCTCATTTCCAATCTATAGAAACCGGCAAGTTTGAAAGTTTTGACGGGTCTGAAGGTAGCCCGTGCAAGCCCGCCAGTCTCACACTTACTTTTCGCGGATGATAGTTTGTTCTTCTGTAAAGCGACAGTAGAGAAAAGTGTGGTATTGTTAAAAATCCTACAACTCTACGAATGCGCGTCAGGACAAAAAAAATAAATTTTGACAAATCCTCTATCCAATTTGGCCATACCGTCGATATAAATGTACGCACAGCAATCCATCAGTTGTTGTTGGGAATTTATAAGGTTGGAGGAGTGGGTAATTATCTTGGTATACCGGAAAGTTTAGGAGGGGCGAAGACGAAAATCTTCAGCTTCCTCATTGATAGACAACAAAAGCGAATAAACGGCTGGACTTCAAAGACTCTCTCTAAAGGGGGAAAAGAGGTAATGGTAAAGTCAGTACTATCGGCGATGCCCACATGTAATGTCATGTTTTTGGTTACCCAAAGGGATTGCAAATAAATTAACCAGCGCGGTGGCTAATTTTTGATGGAGTACAAACTCTGAAACACGGGGAATGCATTGGCTAGCTTGGAGAAAACTGTGTCGACACAAGAGGGACGGGGGTTTAGGCTTCAGAGTCATCGAGGATTTCAATACGACTTTACTAGCAAAACAATTATGGCGATTAATGGATAATCCGGAATCCCTTTTCGCTAAAGTGTTCAAGGGACGATACTATCGGAACTCGTCTCCCATGGACCCAATACGATCTTACTCTTCGTCATATGGATGGCAGAGTATTATCTCTGCTCGACCTCTGGTTCAAAAAGGGCTTATTAAAAGAGTCGGTTCAGGATCGTCTATCTCTGTATGGTATGATCCTTGGATTTCTGACTCTCGCCCGAGGTCAGCTATTTGCAAGGGTTTTAATTTCTACCCCCAGTTAATGGTGAGTCAGTTAATTAATTCTCGGTCATCAACGTGGAACCTTCCACTATTACACCAATTGTTTGAGAGTGAAGAGATTGCTCGTATCACTGGTATCACAATTGCAACCAGTTCCAAACCCGATCCTTGTGGATGGATATTTACAAAAACGGGTCGGTATACGGTCAAATCGGGGTATAGTTTGTTACAAGAGTTAACGGAAGCTGAGGCTCTTCCGGTCTTTGGCCCGGATACACGGAAACTGCAAGCACAGTCATGGATGGTAAAATGCACAACAAAACTCCAGCATTTTCTCTGGCAAATCATCACTGGATGTTTATCTGTTGGCGCACGCCTATGTAGTCGAGGAATGCGAGTGGATCGACAATGTGTGAGATGTGGGATGGCCGATGAGACTATAAACCATATGCTCTTTGAATGCCACCCCCACAATGCTTCCCTACGGGATCTCTTTTCTCAAATATGGCACATTTATTCTGGAACCTACCAGATAATGAGGATATGATAATCTATCCATGGTTACTCTGGTTTGTTTGGAAAGAATGGAACTATAAGGTGTTTTCGAACGATGATCAGGACCCGAGAGATGTCCTTGAATCGGCAATAACTGAGGCCCGTGCATGGGCGGCTGCCCAAACGGTGCCCGCGAGGGAATCACGGAACTTGGTCCCTCACACGGAACCAAATTTAGTGGCTGAATGGTGCCAAGTAGATGGGGCGTGGAAGGACACAGATTGTCGGGTGGGACTAGGTTGGTTCAATTTTAACCCAGACTCGGGTTCTGTTTTAGTGGGTGCTTGTAATCTAAGGCGAGGGTTATCACCTTTACAGCCAGAGCTGGAAGCTCTAGCTTGGGCTATGCAATGCATGCTAGTCCACAATAAACGGCGAATGAATTTTCAAACAGACTGCGCAGATTTGGTGAAGATGGTGTCCACACCTAGAGTGTGACCGGCTTTTGCAAATCTACTTGAAGAGGTTGAGAAGTATAGGAGGCAGTTCCTGGCGTTCTCCTTAACCCACATCCCACGGACAAAGAACACAAAGGCAGACAAGTTAGCACGAAGTGCACGAGCTCAGCCTTACGATGTGTATTATATCAACTCAGTTCCACCGGTCTCGCTTCCCGAACCGCGTTAGGAATTTAGGCTGTTGTCAAAAAAAAAAAAAAGTATAATCCAATAACTAAAACAATAGTAATAAAATCTTACTTTTAAAAAAATATCTAACTAGTAAGAAATTTTCTTTCTTTTTGGTCAGCAAGAGACGCATAACATCAATATGCATTTGCCAATTACTAAAGTAGAAAAAAGAAAAATTAAAATTAGTGAAAGAAGTTTTGTAAAGAATATACACAAATGAAACAGTGTTTAATTACTTTTTGTTAGAAGACTTTGATCACTAGTAAGGAATGTATAGTGAAATGTTAATTAGCAGTTAAAAAATGTTATTGTCTATAAAACCAAAAATCTGTCATTACATACCAATTAAAATTTCTGCTAATTTTATTAAAACTAATATTTAATTCAGTTATTTTAATAGAAATCAATTTTTTGATAAAGACAAAAAAATTGATTTCTTTCTTAATGTATAAGTAAAAACTTATAATAATAAAAAGAGAAACTATATCTATTAAAAAATACAGAGTAGTATTAAATTTGACAATATTGTCTAAATGACTACTAACTTCTTCTTTAAAAAAAAAATAATGACTACTAACTTTCACACATCATGATTTTATTTGTTTTACTACTACAAAAGAAATAACATAAGTAACCCTATTGAATTTAGAATCTGCGGTTTATGAAATATTGCTAGCGTCAAACAAATTTTCTTATCCGTACATGTTTTTACATTAAAAATAAAAAGTGAAGTCGAGCACAAAAAAACAATAACCAAATAAATGGTTTTCACTCAAGTGCAGCACTATAAATACATGTAGTATTCAGCAATGTGTGTTCCCTATATCTCACCAAACCATCTCTCTCTCTTTCTCTTTTTTTCTCTCCCTCTCTCTCTCTCTCAGTCTCAACATCTTACTTTCTTTTTTAATAAAAGAAAGAAATTATAAAGAGAGCAAAAAATGATGGTTGTTTTAGTAAAATATGTCCTCGTGATATTGATGACCTTGATACTAAGAGTCCTATACGACTCCATTTGGTGTTACTTCCTCACACCAAGACGCATCAAGAAACTGATGGAACGTCAAGGCATCACCGGCCCTAATCCACGCCTCCTCACCGGAAACATCGTTGACATCTCCAAAATGCTCTCTCACTCCATCTCCCATGATTGCTCCTCCATCCACCACGACATTGTTCCCCGCCTTCTCCCTCACTACGTCTCTTGGTCCAAACAATATGGTACACAAAATTTATATTTGTATTTTTCGTATGTTTTTTTTTGTTCTTGTAAAATAAAATTTAACTCACATTCCCCAAATTTTGGCGTCAAAAACCTATTGGGATTATGATATTTTCTTTGCATGCGTGCAATGCATTTGTCATTGGCCATGTCATTGTGAAATGACGGAAATACCCTTTTGCAGGGAAGAGATTCATAGTGTGGAACGGGACGGAGCCGAGGCTGTGCCTGACCGAGACGGGGATGATTAAGGAGTTGCTGACGAAGCACAATGCGGTAACCGGAAAGTCGTGGCTCCAGCAGCAAGGGGCTAAAGGGTTTATTGGACGTGGTCTTCTCATGGCCAACGGCGAGGCTTGGCATCACCAGCGACACCTGGCGGCTCCGGCATTCACACGTGATAGACTCAAAGGATACGCCAAGTATATGGTTGAGTGCACGAGGATGATGGCGGAGAAGCTGAGAAAGGAAGTTAAGGAAAGAGGAGGAGATGATAAAGAGGTGGAGATCGGAGAGGAGATGCGGCGGCTCACGGCGGATATAATATCGAGGACGGAGTTTGGAAGCAGTTACGACAAAGGAAAGGAGCTTTTCAATCTACTCACTGTCCTTCAGAGACTCTGTGCTCAGGCCACTCGCCACCTCTGTTTTCCCGGTAGCCGGTGAGTTTATGAGTTTTCTTTTTGTCATTTACAAATCTCTTTTCTTTCGCTTTTAATTAGGCTCTGATCAATAGTATTGCATAAGTATGCTGAATTGCAACTTATATTCAACTATTCTGAAATTTAGTAAATTTTAATGACCAGAAACAAATAATTTTATATATTATTATAAAGGTTTTTAGTTAAATTAAATCGCAATTGTTTTAAATACGTTAATGGATAATATGTATGTTCACAATACTGTAGTTTTAGTTAAATTGGTGAAACGTTAATTTACAATATCCACTAACATGATAAATTAAAAGTCAAACAATAAACTTTACATATAAAAACGTTGCATGCAAATATTTACCCTTTTTTATCGTGATAAAACGTTGACTTAACGTATAACTAATTAATCTTGTTGTCTCAAAGGTTTCTACCAAGCAAATATAATAGAGAGATAAAGTCTCTGAAAACTGAAGTAGAACGTCTTTTGATGGAGATTATAGAGAGCCGGAGAGACAGTGTAGAGATCGGTCGGAGTAGCTCCTACGGAGACGACCTCTTAGGGCTTCTCTTGAACCAGATGGATCACAAGAAGAACAATCTTAATGTTCAAATGATAATGGATGAGTGCAAGACTTTCTTCTTCACCGGTCATGAGACAACCTCTCTGCTCCTCACGTGGACCCTCATGCTCCTCGCTCATAATCCGACGTGGCAGGACAAGGTCCGCCATGAGGTCCGGCATGTTTGTGGTCAAGATGGTGTTCCCTCCGTTGAACAACTATCAAGTCTTACCTCGGTACGTTCTTTTCACTTACACTTTCCCCTTTGTTTGTTTTTCTTTAAAATACAACAAACCGTACATCACTCGGATAAGGTGCCTAGGCCAAGTGAGTTATCACTCGGATATTCCAATTTGCCACATTGCTGGTTCGCTTTCAAAATGATACAGTTCTTGTTCGAAAATAAAAAAAAAGGTGTTGACAAGAAAATTAATCAATTTTTTTTTGCCAAAATAGAAGTTTTTAAAGATAATCAAACTCTTTTGTAAATTTTTAAAATAAACGTTTAGTCGTGTTTCACGTTTTCCATTGAACTTTATAAGTATAAAAAAATGAGATACTAACGAACCTAAACCAATATTATATAGAGAAATTTTAAGAAATACACATTTTGGGTGTGAATTTTCAAAACTATACTTTAATGTGATAATTTTCAAAACTATAAATTTTCTAATTTTAATATATAAATTTGGATTCACTAATCCTTCACTAGAATTTAGATTTTGGATTTTAGAGTTTAAATTTAGTGGTTGAATTAATGTTAGATGTTAAGGTTTATATTTCAGAGTTTAAAACTCTTCTACACAATAAAAATGTAGTTTTGAAAATTTGACACACAAAAATGAGTAGTTTTGAAATTTCTTCTATTATATAGTCACTATCTCAAATATTTCAGTTCAAAACAAATCACATTGGTCCAGTGATAACTTCCATATGAAAGAGTCATATACTTAGCCGCAGAACATTTATAAGGTCTTATATGGAATTAATCTTTGGATTTAGAAAATCTTTGGATTCCCACAAGAAAAAAAATACGCTTGAGTTCAAACAAACAAAATACATTTTTATGAAAAAACACCCTGTTAATAATCTCTTATGCGATATGCATCAGTATACACATGTCTACTAAGTTTTGACTTTTGTCGACAATTGGGATAGAATAAACAATCATTTCTATTACTTTGTTAAAATGTTATTGTTTGTAAAACGCGATATTATGAATGCGTGGGGTACTAACTTCGTGGCAATGCCACTAGTCTCAGTGCTTCTTCCGTAACTAAATCTCAATTAGTATATATCTGGTCAACTTAAATATGATATATGAAGAAAATGTTGTTAAATGTGATTTCCGTAAAATATTATATTGTCGTTCTCTCAAAAGTAATAATGTAAAGATGGTTGATTATATATAGTTCGAAGTCACATCATTGATTTCATGTACGACAACACTAGCATTCCTTCAACATTAGATTAGATAGAGTGAGACTCATGATGAATTGGCTTCCACCTTTAAATTCGAACTAAGGCATGAGTAAGTAAAATATTCCACTTGTTTAAAATATTAGCACTACAACATGATTTGCATAAAATATTGCAAGAAAAAGAATGATATCATTCATTGACTAATTCGATTTGACAGCTCGAAAGAAAGGCAATTCTTAAAACCAAGTAAAAATCTTTAAGAAAGGAAACCACGGAATGAGGGGAATAAAAGCATTTCCTCTCATTCTCTAAGAATTACATTATTCTTAAGGAATAGGCATATTATATTATTCTTTTTTTATTCTATATGAATTAAAAAAAATTAGTGTTAAAATTATTTCTTATAAAATATGAAAAGGAAGAAATTCCTTATATTTTACTTCTCTAATTTCTTTCATTCTCATTCATTTTATTCTTTTAATGGTCACCAGTTAGAGCCAAAGAATCCTAACACACTTCATAAAATTGCTAGATATGATTATTTATAAAATTTTATAATAGAATATTCAACTAACTTATCTTTCTTTATATTTTCATTTTTGGACAGTTAAACAAAGTGATAAACGAATCATTAAGACTTTATCCTCCTGCCACTCTTCTACCACGAATGGCTTTTGAAGACATAAAACTAGGCGACCTAACCATCCCCAAAGGTTTGTCTATATGGATCCCTGTCCTTGCAATCCATCATAGCAAAGAATTATGGGGTGATGATGCGAATGAATTCAACCCGGAACGCTTTACGACTAGAAGTTTTGCGTCTACTCGCCATTTCATGCCTTTTGCGGCTGGTCCTAGGAACTGCATTGGACAATCTTTTGCGATGATGGAGGCAAAGATTATATTAGCTATGCTTGTTTCCAAATTTAGTTTCACAATATCGGAGAATTATAGACATGCTCCTATAGTTGTGCTTACTATAAAGCCTAAGTATGGAGTTCAATTAATTTTGAAGCCACTGGATTCGTGAACGAAGAAGACTTATCTAATTAAGCTTCCTGAGAGAATGATTTTTGAGTAACACGAGGGGTTTGTAGTTGAAACTATTTTTGAATGAGTATAATGAAGAGTTATTTGGTTCAATTTAAAATACATACACGTAGTAAGTTACACAAATTGACGACACGATATTGTGAGTCCTATCCGCCCTTGTTATATCTGATCTATCCATTTATCTTTATTTTCAAAACATAAAATACAAAAATTCTCCAAAAAAAATGTCTTCTAACTAAACTCTGTTTTTGTTTTTGTTAATAAAATTTAACTATAATATTGTCCTTTGGTTAATATGTAACATATTGAACTTACATATATTAAACTATTAAAGTGGAGTATACAAACATCATCAGAGATCTTTTTTATTAAGTTGTTGATAAGTGACTCTATTAGTGGGGTGAAGTTTTACAAGTATTTTCTCTCGTTTTCTAATAGCAACTTTACAAAATGTCATTTACCTAAATAAAATTGTTTTCTTGTTATCAAATTAAGTCTAGAAAACATATTTTGATAAATCAACTATTAAAGAAAAAACATGAAGGTTTGTCTAGCATTTTTTAAGGTGGCATGTGTTCTCTGGCATAAGCCAATAAACAGTTGGTAATCCTCTTGTTTTTTATAATTTACTAGAGCTAAACCCGCGCGATGCGCGGGTTATGTCTATTACAAAATTTTGATACTTGTATTTTAACTGTCATTTGAAATTTGTAAATATTTTGCCACTTATATTTTTCAGATATGTTAGCACACGGTTTATGTTGCTCTTTATTTCATCTAAAATCAAATTTCGTAAAATGTTTGCGGTAGACTTGAGATAACTCAAAAACCTAAACCGTACCAACCTGAAATATCCATGCCATACTTGAATGATTTTGGCTATATAGCAAATCACCAACTGGGTAAATATTTAATACCCATGGATATTATCCCATGGAATTTTTAGATATATTTTCAGTATTTTATATTTTTAAAAAAAATTGATTTACAAATATTTTCTCGGATTTTTGGGTACTTTTTGAGTTTTGAGTATATTTTGAGATTTTTGAGTGATAAAGAATTGAAATACTCGAACTCAAGCTATGACCGAAATATTTTGGGTATATTTTAAATGGCGGAGAGCACACAACGGCCTGACCCTCTCAACCATTTCATGTTTATACCGATGGGTGGAACATTACCAATTATCGTTACATCGCCGTGAGTCTTCATTTGATTCCCCTAAATGTGTTATAGGAACAGCTGCTATAACGACCAGATGAAATGCCTCAAACCGTTTAATTTTGTTGTCTGCTAACTTAGATCATTAGATATCTTTTAGGCTATGATTCAAGATTTCGGGGTAAATAATGTAACATTAGATAGTTACCGACCAAAGAAAGATAAAGAAAAAATATGAGGCATGTGCCTTGCATCTCAAAAGTTGATAGTACTGAGCTAAATTTAAATAACGAAAAATGATGTTTTGTTGCTAAAGAAGGTTAATTATGTAACAATTAATAGTACGATGCCCAAATTAAATTATTGATTTTTTTTGATAATCTTGAAATAGTATTTTCTTATGATGTTTTTTTTTTCCAGTCCGTTTAATTACATCTAAACGGCAGCGACTATCACCGTTTCGTCAAAAATTATGAATCTTAGCTTAGGGTTTTTACAGAGAACTGGGAGAGATGGAGTTCGAGAAGAGGAAAGCTGCGACGCTAACGTCACCGACAAATCTCCCAAAGGTTTTCTCGACGAGCCTATTATTCCTCTCCTTGAAACCATCAATCATCATCCATCGTACTTCACCACCACTCAGGTCGAATCTCTATCCTTTCTCAACCCAAACCGCAATTAAATGCTTCAACGAAGAAGAACGCTCGCGGCGGTACCTGGCTCGACATCACGCATGACCCAGCCGATCCAGAGTCAGTCATTTCTCTCCTTTTCCCTTCACAGTCAACTCTGATTGACCATCCCAGCGAGTTAGTCTTCCGATTCGAGCCGTTGATCATTGCAATGGAATGCAAGGATTGCATCATTTTGTTTCCGGTCGCGTCTTTTCACATCTATTGGATAAGATTTCTCGGGCAACAGAAAGGAAGCAGTTTTGGGATTTCTGAGAAGAATGCCGCTGAAGCCATCGGAAACGGCTCTCTCCGCACTTCTCTACCTCCTGCCTCACCATTCTTCCGATCTTCTCTCTCAAGGCGATCTCCCTCTTTAAGTATACTTCTCTATCTTTATCGAGATTTGAAAATTTGATATTTTTTCGGCCTGAGTTGTGTTTATCTCTCGATTATACTGTTACCCGTTTGGTTTGGAGATTCTTGTGGCCTTTGATTATATGATTTCAGCTAGAAGGGTGATCTTATTGGTTTAGCTCGGTTTGATTATGTTTTTGTAGTTTGAATGAGCATCTTAGTAAATAACTTAGTATGTGTGATGCTTAAGTCGATTCTATACTTGAAAGGAAATGTATGTTCTCATGTAATCAGTTAATCAAGGAGAATAGTATTGCAACAGGTGTTACAGGATGCTGAGAGCAGGAAAGATTTCATCTTGAGCGACTACAATAGAGATGCAGATTCTTTTTTTTTTTTTTTTTAATGTTAAGATTTATTACCAATTTTTTGATTTGTGACAGAAGAAACTAAGAAGACAGAAAGACCTAAATCTAAGAAACAACAGGAATAAAAGACGGCTTAACTACAACAAGCTAGACCCACCAAAAGCTTACCAATGAAGAAACACCGATTCCGAACCAAAGCTCGGAAATTTGCACCTTTGCCGCAGATCCTAAAACCTGGAATCCTCATCGTTGTTGCCACGAGCAACCGTACACAAGGCAAGTCCTCAAAACCTCATTAGTAGCAGTACATGCAGCTTCTCCGAGGACTAGTGCAAAAACAGAACCGAATCAGCGAACTACTCGACCACCGGCGGCACGGGAACCTCTACGGACAGCAAGAGAAGCCGCATCTAGCCACCAAACTCGAGCTGTGAAGCCACAAGAATAGTCTCCCACGGGGCGAGTAGAGACTGAAAACGGAGCTGCCGCCTCTATCCAACACTGAACCACCTCGGTAGCTTTAAGCTTTAACGGAGTCGTCCCCTAGCTGAGCTTTGAGCCAATCTACAAACCCTAGAAGCAAAAGAAACCGGCAGAAGTTGAAAGGAGCCACGGAAGGCCAAAACTGAGCAGAGAATCCACAGTCGTCACCGTGAGATCTCACACCACATTCGACCACCACCCAACAACAGCCACCGGCAAGAAAGGAACGAGAGAGACGACGGAATGAGCCACTCTCCGGCTTACCGGAGACCACGCCGTCGCTGCCCTGACGAGATCAATGCGGCTGAAAACCCACCTCCTTGAACAAATCGACGGCGGAAGCCCGTCCTCAAAGCCTCCAAACCACCGCGCCGTTCAGATCTGAGAGAAACTTCAGCCACGTCCCTCCAGAGCAAAGACCAGAGTGCCACATCTGAAGGAGGAGCCGAAAAGCCACGCTCTACCTCCACAAAGATCCCCAAACCACGAAGACGGAGGACCATCTCGCAGATCTCGATCCAAACCCACAGAGCCTCTCTGCTGAAAATTGAGCAAAACAGAGAGGGAGCCTCTCCCGGCGGTGGCGAGGAGCGCCGGCCGCCGGAGAGGAAGGAGCCAAGGAGACGAAGAAAAACGACGGCGGCTGGTTTAGGAGAGAGAAGGGAGTGAAAAAAATTTAGGGCGAACTTTCTCCTAATCTTCCTGTGAGATGCAGATTCTTACAGGTACGTTTTGGCTCTATTTTGATTGTGTAGACTGTAGTTCAAGTCAATAGCAGTGAAATAATTATGTAGTTCAAATCATATTACATGTACGTTTTGGCAACATTAGGTAGTATAAAATTCAGGTCAATGTAGTTCAAATGACGCAGTTGTGTTCTAAATTTACTCTGTTTTGCTCCTTTGTTCTTTTGAAGTTGCATCCTTTACAATAATTTCTAGTCAGTCTTAAGAACATGCTTTGCGTTGTGTAACACATAAAGTGAAAGGTCCTTCTCAAAATTTGAATAGTTTATTGTTATGAACTATATGGTGCTATGTTTGCTCAGCCCTATTTGAAAATTTGGTTTGATTTTATCTTGATTTCTGCGAGAGTTTTATATCAAGAGAGAATGTTACATGTGCTGGCCATGAGTCATGAGCATGCTTTTGTTAATTTTTATGTCTATGAATGAATGGTGGAAAGAGCCAATGAACAAAAGCTTCCCACAACTTGTCCCGAATAATGTTTTTTGTACTAATCATCAAAGTCAACCCTTAATCCCTCAAAACGTCAACTCATAAAATATCAAACTCAATAAAGTATTATGGTTCATAGTTACATATAGATACATACGCAGCTGATGTATATACAAATGTTGATTCTAGATTTAATCAAGATGATTTTGTGAATGCATTAGATTAGTTTCTCTTTTTTGTGCAGGGATGCTTCAGCTTCTGAGAACTAACCAATTGCTTTGTGTCTCTTTGTGTGATTGTGATACGGTTATTCAGGTTGAAGGAAAGACAGTAAAGGCCCAAATCTGGGACACGGCAGGTGAAGAGCGATACGGAGCCATCACAAGCGCTTATTAGAGAGGAGCAGCTGCTAATTCCGTGATTCCGGGGCAAGGAACAACGATTAACGTTGAAGATACATCTGGAGCTGCCAAAAGAGGTTGCTGCTCTACTTGATTCAAAGTTCCTCTTGAAAGCTTTTCAACTTCCGTTTTCTCTTGCTTAATCATTTCTTCTTCTCTCTTTTCTTTTCGAATTTTTTTTGCGCTTCGGTGACAGGGGTAGAACAAACGGCAGAGAATGGGCCAGTGGGAACAAAATTTGGAAAGCAGAGGAGACGCCTCCGGCATCGGTTTTCTGTGCCAAGGAATATGAAGCGTGAAGAGACATTAGGTGAATAACTTTTTTTTTTCTTTTTTTTAAAATAAAAAAACGCTGCCAAATGGTAATTTTATAGGAAACTAAAAATGTTGATGTGGCAGAAATCTGAAGAGAGTTCTCTCATTATAATAGAGATTGGGTAAAATGGATTCAATCTATATATAAGCTTTTAAATTGTAAAGACATGTTTGTAGAAAAGCCTTTAAAAATATAATAAAAAGATAGAACAAATAATAGAAATGAACTTAACATTTAACCAAAAAGAATAATAATAATAATAGGAATGATAAGTGATGGGGTAACGAGACTATCTTTTTAGTTTTATTTATTTTATTATGGATTCGGGTCAGCACTTATAATGAAAAACAGGTTGATTTGCATCTTATCTATTATTTAATTGACAGAATCGATGACGCACCTTTTTCATAAAGCAGAAAGTCGTATCTTCTAAGTTTATTACTCATACTAATTGATTTTCTTGTTGATTTTTATTTTTATTTAAAAAGAGTCAAGTCAAAGTGTATTTGAAATAATTTTTATTATAGTTGTGCACCAAATAAATTTACGATTGTTAAGAAGAATAATTATCCACAGCATTCTACCATGTTCTCACCGTCTTACAATTACCGCCTTAGCCATTATTTTATTAATTTCTTACTACTATATATAGGTGTGCTCCGTAACCTATTGTAACATAAGTTCAATAAGAACTAAAATCACTTTTTCTCACCACGTAATATTCTCTCCTGCCTTGCCATAATAGAAAGTCTCTCTACCTTATCTCCCTCTCTCTTTGTAATCTTCTCTCTACTCAGCTTCTTCTTTTATTAAATACATATATCCACTATACATAATATATAGTGGTACAGTTTAGTTTCTTAATACGTTATCAGCACGAACTGCTCTTATATTCTGTCTATTCAATTTTATTGATATGCCGGGATGCTAGGTTGTACCTACTCCGAGCAAATGATCATATGGTAGACTATGTCACCTTAGATCATATAAGAGTTGATGGTAAAAATCCTCCTCTTGGAGTTGAGACTTTGCCTCCTCCTGAATATTTACTTTTCTGTAATTTACTTTTTCGCTATTTACTTTATTGCCATTTAAATTCCTGCTATTTACTTTTTGCAATTTAAATTCAGCACCTTAATTTTTATAAATTCATGCTGTTATAATGCTCAAATTTTTTTACGCAAATTTGAATTTAATTGAATTTTAATTAATGAATGGTATATGATCTATGCAGATATCATGTCAAATTTGGCTAAGCTCGAAATTTCCGCCCTTGATATTTCTGGAAACAATTATATGACATGGGCAATAGGTGCAAAAATGCATCTAAAAGGAAATGGGCTTCTTGATGCCATTGACAAGTCGAAAGAAGACATCCGATGAGAAAAAGGCGAAAGCCATGATCTTTTACTTCATCACATCCACGATGGTTTAAAAGATGAATACATCACTAAAGAAGATCCTGCGGATCTTTGGCAATCTTTGAAAGAAAGATTTGACCATCAAAAATATATAGATTTGCCCAAAGCCAAATACCAGTGGCTATACCTCCGGTTTCAGGACTATAAAAGTGTTGTTGAATATAATTCTGCTATGTTCAGAATAATTTCCAAATGGTGCTATGTGGAGAAAATGTGAGCGATTATGATATGATTGAAAAAACGCTCTCCACATTTCACCCTGGAAATATAGTCCTGCAACAACAATATCGGGCAAATGGCTATACTCGTTATTCAAAATTGAATGGAAGTTCTCCTTGTTGCAGAACAGAATAACGAGCTTGTGATGATGAACCATCAGACTCGTCCCACTGGAGCTGCTCCATTCCCAGAAGCGAATGTAGCATCGTCCAGCCAAAATAATGGACGAGGACGTGGACGTGGATACGGTCGAAACCGAGGTCGTGGCCGTGGCCGTGGACGTGGTCGGGGACAAGGAAAAGAGTACCGTCCCGACGAGTCCAACAATGAAAGGAATATAAAAGATCTCGAGCAAATGATTACGGCCGAGATTCTAAAAAGCAAAAAGAAAGTGTTTGCTACAGATGCGGCATGAAAAATCACTGGGAGCGTACTTGTCGTACACCCAGACACTTAGCCGATCTATACCGGGAATCACAAAAAGCAAAGGAGAAAGAAAGTGAGACTAACTTCATCTCCAGTGAACCCGGTCCTTCCTTTCACGGCCTAAACGATGATACTCATCTTGATGTTTCAGATTTTCTGGTTGACTCCGAAGAGATCAACGGAAAAACAGACGACTAAAAGGACATGATATACATAGTTATCTTCCTGAATAAGATAACCTAAAAGTTTGATCTTTTTGTTGTAAAATAGTTTTTAATGTGGTATTTTGTATCTTGTGATATAAGCTTTGTATTGTTTAATACTTATTAATGCATCTTTGTTAAATCCAGAAATGACGAAATTTGAGACTCGTGATGGAGATATGTGTCTTGCAGACAGTGCTACAACGCACACAATACTCAAAGATAAAAGATATTTCTCCGGTCTCAAAATTAAAGATTCCGTTGAAAGCGTGAATACCATTTCTGGTGGTGCAAAAATAATATTGGGCTCTGGAAGAGCCAATTTTTCAATGCCAAGGGGAACAAAGTTTGAAATAAATGATGCATTATATTCCCCGAAGTCTTACAGAAACTTATTAAGTTTCAAGGATATCCGTAAAAATGGGTATCACATAGAGACTATAAATAAGAATGGCATTGAAATCCTTTGCATCAAATCGGAGGGACAAATATTGGAAGAATTGAAAATGTGTCCTCCGGATTATATTGCACAAATATTACTCTGACTGAATCATATGTTACAGTAAACCCGAAGTTTACTAGTACATTCAAAATCTGGCATGAAAGGCTAGGGCATCCAGGTTCAGTCATGATGAGAAAAATTGTGCAAAACTCAAATGGCCATCCGTTGAAATACGGGAAAATTTTAGAAACGGGCGAGTTCATATGTAATGCATGTTCTCAAGGAAAACTCATAACTCGGCCATCACCAGCGAAAGTTGGGAATGAATCCCCTGTGTTCTTAGAGAGAATACACGGTGATATATGTGGGCCTATTCACCCACCATGCGGACCGTTTCAATACTTTATGGTATTAATTGACGCATCAAGTAGATGGTCACATGTGTGTCTTTTGACAACACGAAATACGGCTTTCGCAAGATTCATTGCCCAAATAATCAGGTTGAGAGCACAATTCCCTGATTATACTATTAAGAAAGTGAGATTAGATAACGCTGGTGAATTCACTTCACAGCCTTTAATGACTATTGCATGTCATTGGGAATCGATGTTGAGCATCCGGTTCCACATGTCCATACACAAAATGGCATGGCTGAGTCTTTGATTAAACGGTTGCAACTGATTGCAAGACCGTTAATAATGAGAACAAAACTCCCAATTTCAATATGGGGTCATGCTATTTTGCATGCTGCAGCGTTGCTCCAAATACGACCAAGTGCTTATAATATATATTCCCCATTACAATTAGCATCTGGTCAGGAGCCAAACGTATCCCATCTCCGTGTTTTTGGTTGTGCGGTTTATGTTCCGATAGCACCGCCACAAAGAACAAAAATGGGGCCACAAAGGAGATTGGGAATATACGTTGGGTATACGTCACCGAGTATTATTCGGTATCTTGAACCTCAAACTGGTGATATGTTTACGGCACGTTTTGCCGATTGCCATTTTAATGAAGATGAATTTCCAGCGTTAGGGGGAGGAATTAAAGAGGTTCCAAAAGACCTCACATGGTGTACACCGAATTTGTACACTTTGATCCCCCGACAAAACAACGCGAATTGGAAGTTCAGAAAATTATACATTTACAAAATATGGCAAATCAATTACCAGATTCGTTCACAGATACAAAAAGAGTGACGAAATCATATATACCCGCTGCAAACGTTCCATCAAAGATAGATGTTCTAAGGAACAAAATGATGGAAGCATAGCAAATGCACCCAAAGTCCAATTAAAGAGGGGGAGGCCGATGGGCTCTAAAGATAAAAATCCCCGAAAGAAAAAGAATTTGGGAGAAAAGGTTCAAGAAGAACCTTGTAAAGAAATATGTCCTAGAAGACATAAACAAACTGGTTTTTGAAGAACCAGAGAAAGAGATTCGTCCAGAAGACGAACATGATACAGAAAAATTTGAGATTTCCATCAACTTCGCCCAAAATGGAAAAGTATGGACAAGAAATGAAATAGAAGATGATGATGGAATATTCTCTTTTTCTGTATACAAAGAATTGATCATGAAAGTGATGATCCAGATCCAGAAACAATATCAGAGTGTCTGAAAAGACCTGATTGGGAGAAATGGAAAATGGCCATCCAAGCTGAATTACTCTCCCTCAATAAAAGAAGTGTTTTTGGACCTATTGTCACAACTCCTGAGAATACAAAACCCGTCGGGCACAAATGGGTTTTTGTAAGAAAAAGAAATGAGAAAAATGAGGTCACAAGATATAAAGCCCGACTTGTGGCTCAAGGTTTTTCTCAAAGACCGGGAATTGATTATGAAGAAACATATTCCCCGGTAATGGATGCCATAACATTCAGATTTTTGATGAGCTTAGCAGCGTCTCAAAATCTTGAAATGTATCTCATGGATGTTGTGACAGCATATCTATATGGATCTCTTGAAAATGAGATATATATGAAAATCCCAGAAGGATTAAAAATGCCTGAGGATTTGAAATCAAAGGCTAAGGAGATCTGTTCGGTCAGATTACAGCGATCACTTTATGGACTAAAACAGTCCGGACGCATGTGGTATAATCGCTTAAGTGAATATTTGTTGAGTAAAGATTACGTCAACAATGCGATATGCCCTTGCGTATTCATTAAGAAATCCTCGTCAGGATTTGTGATTATTGCTGTATATGTAGATGACCTGAACATGATTGGAACTCAAAAGGAAATTGATGATGCAAGAACTCATATGAAAGAAGAGTTTGAAATGAAAGATCTTGGAAAGACAAAGTTTTGTCTTGGGCTCCAGATAGAGCATTTCCAAGATGGTATATTTGTGCATCAGTCAAATTACACTAAAAGAGTGTTAAAACGCTTTTATATGGACAAAGCAACTCCTTTGAGTACTCCAATGGTTAATAGATCTCTTGATGTTGAAAAGGATCCATTCCGTCCTTGTGAGGATAACGAGGAAGTGTTAGGTCCTGAAGTACCTTACATGAGCGCTATTGGTGGACTAATGTATCTTGCAAATTGCACTAGACCAGATATAGCATTCGCTACTAATCTGCTTGCAAGATATAGTTCGTCCCCTACGCGCAGACATTGGAATGGAATAAAACATATTTTTCGTTATCTTCAAGGATCAATTGATTTAGGATTATTTTATCCTAAAAACTCAAAATGTGTTTTAGTTGGTTTTGCTGATGCAGGATATCTATCAGATCCACACAAAGCTAGATCACAAACAGGTTATGTTTTCACAATTGGTGGAACCGCGGTCTCCTGGCGTTCGCAAAAGCAAACTTTGGTTGCAACGTCTTCAAATTATGCAGAAACTATTGCTCTCCATGAAGCATGTAGAGAGTGTGTGTGGCTCCGGTCTATGACTCATCACATAAAGAATCAAGTGGAATAGTCACAGAGAAAGAGCCAACAAAAATATTTGAAGACAATTCTGCATGTGTCACACAACTCAAAGAAGGTTATATCAAGAGTGACAGAACGAAGCATATTCCTCCAAGATTTTTCTCATACACTCAAGAACTCCAGAAAAATCAAGAAGTGGACATCGAGTATATTCGTTCAAGTGACAATGCAGCCGATCTTTTTACAAAGGCGCTTCCTACTACAGTGTTCAAGAAGCATGTTCACAGTATCGGAATGCGTCGTCTACAAAACTTGTGAAAAGAAAAGATTCTATCTTTTCCAGGGGGATTATGCTACGGTACTCTTTTTCCTAAGTCATAGTTTTTATCCCATTGGGTTTTTCTATGACATAGGTTTTTTAACGAGACCGTACATAATACATTGACGGATAATTAAGGGGAGTGTTAGAAAATAATTATCCACACAATTTACATGTTCTTCACCGTCTTAATTACCGCTTAGTATTATTTATTAATTCCCTCTACTATATATGTGTCTCGTACTATTGTAACATAAGTTCAATAAGAAAAAATCACTTCTTCTCACACGTAATATTCTTTCCTCCTCCATATAGAAAGTCTCTCTACCTCATCTCCCTCTCTCTTTGTCATCCTCTCTCTACTCACTTCTTCTTTTATTAAATACATACATCCACTATACATAATATATAGTGGTATAGTTTAGTTTCTTAAGAATAATTACTAATTTGAATATCACTAAAATGAAGTTTGTAAAGATCACATTTTTTTACATTAAGTACGTTTCTGCGGTATCAAAGTAAACATTTTTAAAGCGTATTTTTCAGAAAAAAAAATGAAAACGTGGGATACTAATGTAGACACTAGCCACAAATCGAATAAACCAACCGTGAAATTATGCAACTATTGGTTGTCATTTGTCAATAAGTTACATTTTTACAAGAGTTCGGTTTAGTTTGGATAATAGATAGGTTATGGAAGCAAGTTCCTTAAAGGTTTTTCTTTTGAACAAAGGCTTAAGTTCCGATGCTCATTATACTCACTTTTCTTTCGGTTTAGTTGTGTACATGGGTCACCTTTTTGGCGCCTGCATATGAGAGATATCCTTTCAGTAATGATTAGACGCAAAAATCTTCTTCCTGGTTTTAATTTAACTTTATTGAAATTGTCTTAAGATTAAAAAAAAACAAAATTTAAACCACATAGTGGCTATACGTAGAAGGGTATGAGTTAATCGATGGTTTGATATCGAACCACATAGTGGCTACGAATTGTTTTGAGTTTTCTTTTACTAAGCAAACAAGATCATATAGTTTTTGATATTTTTTACTACGAAAAAAAATAGTGGCTGCGATCATAAGTTTTCTTTTTACGTAGCCACTATAAAAAACTATACGATCTTATTTGCTTAGATAATAAAACCACATAGTTTACTATAAGAAAACTTATTAGTAACGAGATTTAGATAAAAAATACTTTAATAGTTTGAGTTAATCAATGATTTGACGCCGAAGTTGGAAGCACATGATTGATTAAGTCGATACCACACATGGAGTGATCTTTGCTATGGATTTATGCGTCTGATGTCATTCCACCAAACTAGCCCACAGATTTTGTGTACGCTAACACTGTTTACAATCACCAGTTCACCACTATGTCATTGTTGCAACAATAAAATTATCCAACTCATTATTTTCGAATTATCAGATTTCAAAACAACAGTCGCATTTTAAGTTCAATTATGTACTTGTAACAATATGTCAACAAAAATCCTTTTAGGATACATATATTAATATTTCCGGGACTGAAGATAAAACACAGGTCAACAAGTTATCAAACCATTATGTTAAAACCCGAGCCGTCTGAGAGGAAATTAAATTTTCTTATTCTTTCTTGAAAAATCGAAAGAGAGAACAAGAGAAAAGAAGAGAAGAACTGATTACTTGGAGAGAAAGTATAACTCGGAGAAAAAGCTATAACCTTTAGAGTATGGGCCGGACTTCTATATAAGCTATTTATAACAAATAAACAATTCGTCTCTATCGGTCTCCATTGTTACTAAGCCTAACCCTAGCTGACGAGGGGATCTAGTATTCAAAGCGCCATGAAAACACGGCGGCGACAGTACGTCTCTCTAGATTCTTCGACCTCATCAACGAATGCAAAAGAAGAAAACTCAGAGACGATCTCAACTGATCTCATGATCGAAATCTTCTTGAGGTTGCCGAGGAGGTCTATAGCGAGATGTCGATGTGTATCAAAGCTCTGGAACTCCATGCTTCGCGATCCGTATTTCATCGAGTTTTTGACTCGCCCCCGGTTCTTGTTCTCCTTCCGAAAAGTCGGTGAGCTCTGCTTCTTCTCGTCCCCCCAAGATGCGAACTCGTCTCCTGTAGACGCAGATTATCATCTCAAGCTCAAATGAAAAGACTCCTTTAGAGTTTGTGGTCATGTCCGAGGTTGGGTATGCCTTCTTGATCTCCGGGAGATAAAGGAAAAGAAAGGAACGGCTCATGTGGTATGTAACCCAAGAACGGGACAGTTGTTGCCTCTACCCAAAGTGAAGACGAAGAGGAGCTTTAGCGTGTATAGTTTTCTTGGGTTTGATCCGACTGATGAAGAATTCAAGGTGTTGACCATAACCGGTGGGGTTGAGCATCGAGTTCTGACGTTAGGGACTCGAAAACTTGAATGGAGAATGATCGAATGTGGCATTCCAGATCATTATCCTATTAGTGATGGGATATGCATCAACGGTGGTTTGTATTATATAGCTAGCTTTCATGGGCCTGTTCGTGCGATAGTTTGCTTTGATGTGAGGCTGGAGAGGCATAGAGTTATTAACGAAGATGAGGAAATGCATTTCCTATATTCTCTTCCAACTCTTGTAAACTACAAGGGGAAATTAGGTGTTCTTGCTTCAGATGGTGTTTCTTGGATACACAGACTTACCCGAGAAAGCAAACATATTGTGTTGTGGGTTCTTGCAGACGCAGAGACACTTGAGTGGTCGAAGCATGTATATGTATTGCCAAAACCTCTGTGGAAGAATGTAGTTGGAGTGACCACGTTGTTCTTTGTTGGAGTGATTGGTGGTAGCGATGAGATTGTGTTGTCGCCGCAGCGACATGTATATCCTCAGTTCTATGTTTACTACTACAACATGGAGAGGAATACTTTCAGAAGAGTTGAGATCAAAGGAATGGACGTGGCGGATAGGTACTATGGCTGTTGCATGACTCTAGACTATGTAGAGGACGTGAAGCTTATGGAATATGTTTAGGACACTTGAAAGATAGATTACGGTCGTTTCCTTTTTAGCCTTTCCTGTTTTTTTTTTTCTTTTTTTATTGTTGTTGTAGTGTTGCTACCGTAAGTAAGAGAAGTGAAGTTAGTTTCAGTTTATATGTTACGGTTTTGATTTCTAACATCTTATCTACTTGATATGAGTTGTAAAAAAGCTATAACTCGTGTGGCAGATTCAACGAGGGGATGATAGAAACTCTTGTTATTGCAAAGTTTTCAAATAGTAATCCGAAACAGACAAGTCTCAGATGAAGAAATGATCAGAATGTTAATTATGAAGAAGAAGAAGTGAAATAGTCATGTTTTAATCGCTCTGGTTTGATATAATCGTTAACATCATCGACGGGATCACGGGAGGATCTACGCGATTGGACTTTTTTTTGTTTTTTGTTTTTTTTTAACATCTGAAGGTATATTAATATATCAAAAAGAGATACAAAGGGTCAAGGAGAAGACCAGAGCGACAGAGTTTAAATCTACAAGCAAAGCAAAGCATCAACCATTTACAACTACATCAATAGGGCACAACAGCCGAACCAAAAAACTACTCTATTAAATAGAGGCTGAAGTTTTCTCATTCTCAAATAAACCATGGAGCCAAAAGGGATGACTACTTGCAACATATGATTGATGAAAATGATCCTCCAAAGCACTTTGAGCAATGAGAAATGCTCCTCTATTGGCTGCTCGTAACACTACTTCCACTTTCCAATCTGAAAACCTTACCAAGAACTGAGAAAAGGCAATCTGGTGCCTGCAATAATCTCCACGCTTGTTTAGCTAACAGAGCTTGATTAAATCTTTCAATATCCTTAAACCCTAGCCCACCAAGCTTCTTTGATAAACACATTTTCTCCCAACTTATCCAATGGACCATAGCTCCACTCAGTTTTTTAATTGTTGATTTAGGCAACTTAAAGCATGACATCGCATAGACAGGCAGAGCAAAGGCTACAGCTTTAAGTAAAATTTTATTTTCCACCATGAGATAAGGTACGAGCAAACCAACATGTTAATCTTGCTTTCAAACGATCCTGAATATAACCAAGGAGATCCGCTTTTGAACCGCTAAAACATTCAGGCAAGCCCAGATAGGTACCCGCTCCTCCTTCATTAAAAATCCCAAAGGTTTCTTGAATTTTAACCTTAGCAGAAGGATGCACCTTAGAGCCGAATGTAATTGAGGACTTTGTTAAATTAATAACTTGTCCTGTAGCTTCTCCATAAACTCCTAAGATGTTTTGTAGAGCTCTTGATTCAGGTTCAGAGGCCTTGCATAGAAAAAGGCTGTCATCTGCGAAAAGAAGATGATGAATGGTAGGACCTGAGGGAGAAAAGCAAACCCCATGAATCTCTTCTGATTGCTCTGCTTTGCTTAACAAGTGAGTTAGACCTTCTGTGCTCAGACCTCTCGATGGATAAATTCGCTTTTGACGATGATTGCTGATCAAAACAGAGTAGGAAACTCATGTTATACAGAACATTACCCATTGAATCCATTGCTCAGTTAGAAGACTTCTCACATAAGACCATTCAACTCTATCATATGCTTTTGACATATCAGATTTAATAGCCATAAACTCCTCTGATATTGTTGGATGCGTCCTCAAAGAGTGAACTACCTCATGAGCAATTAGGACATTGTCTCATATCAATACGCGATTGGAGTTATCAACTCGAAGAATATGATAATGGTTGTGATCAATACAGAAACACAAACTTGGGAGCCTAAGATGATAAAGTTTGACTTCGAGTTACGTGGCATGTGGAGGTGTGAATGTGTGGTGGTGGCTGTACATAAGGGATTGTAAGAATAGCATTGTTTACGCGCCAAAGGGAAGTAAATGGGAAAAGGATGAGATGGTGAATGCTAAGCTGTGGGAGAAAGCTTGTGTGGTTGATGATGTTTTGTACTACAGTAAAACCTCTATAAAACAATAATGTTGGGACTTTGAAAATTTATTATCTTATCGAGTTATTGTTTTATCGATAAAATAATAATAATTATTTTATAAAATATTCTATAAAAAAAAGAAACTTTATAGAAATATATGTAAGTAGGTACACGTAAGGAATCAATTGTGGCTTCGAAAACTCTTCACAACTTTTGGCCCCAGAAATTGTTGATGCAATAAGAAAATTCGAGATGAGCTCCAACGAGAATCCAACTTTCATAAAAGACAAACTACATTGGAGTCATATTTTACTAAATTGCCTTAGATATATATGCCTTAGTTTTATAATTATTGTCTTAGCCTATTGTTGGGACTATATTTTTACATAGGAGTTTCAAAAATATTATTGTCTTATCATCTTATCGCATTATGCTATTTTTTACATTGCCCGAGTTGGGACCGGAGAAATTTATTATCTTATAGTGTTTATTGTTTTATCGAGTATTGTTTTATAGAGGTTCTACTGTATTACGATAACGTGAAGAACAAGTTAATAGCGTATGATTCAGAGAAGAAGTGTTGGCTGAGGTAAGACTTTCTGAGTGTGGGTGGGGACACTGCTGTGAGTTACGGTGAGAAATTTGTTCTGTTTTATGCTAAAAGAGGGACTTTTTTTTGCTTGTAATTATGGGTTAAGATTTCTGTTATGTGTTTGCTACTCTAAATAAGGGCTGTGAAGTTACTTGTATTTAAGTGGGTTTCCATGAAAATCCTTCTTTCTAGAAACTCTTGTTATTGCAAACTCTTCAAATACTAATGCAAAACAGACAAGTCTAATAAGAATTAAATATTTTGACGCTCTAAACCAAAAACCATAGAGAGAAGAAGAGTTTTAGATTTCAAGAAATGTTTAATTACAAGAAGAAGTTTAAGAGCAAAAGCCCAGTTTTTTCAGCCTAACCAGCAATTACTGACATTTGAAGCCCAAACCAGATTTGAGGCCCAAACGACAACCAAATCGTGAGTTTTGAATTCCAGAAGCGGTGATAGACACGAAGCGTAGTGGAGAGTGAGAGCGTGGACATGCAAATCGTGGGCATAAGTTTTGCAGAAGCTTCAAGAACCCTTTGATACTTGTAACTTCTTTGTATCAAAGTTTCAATTTTGGTTGTAAGCAAGCAAAATTCGTGGGAAGCTGCGAACAGCCTCAAGGTTTAATTTCTCTTTTTTCGTTTGTACATTTTGTTTACTGGGTTTTTTGCTTGAAGTTTTTGTTGGTTATTCCATGAAATTGAATATACGAGGAGGAGCTTGGTTTCGTTTTGACCGTTTTCCCCAATTTTTGAGAATTTTGTGTAATGAATTGATATATGTTTGTGTATAGCCACGCTTTACTTGCTTCACTCTCTTTTACTCTGATACTTAGTGATTCTAAATGAGTTTAAATATACGATGACATGACTGTAACTGAACCTGGGGTCAAAGTTCCAATTTTTAACCATTTAACTCGAAAGTTTCTAGGGAATACAAAGATCTTAGCTTTCTTTACCAACAACCCATGTGAATGGTGAAAAAAGCAGATATCGTTCGTATTCAGGTGGATTGTTGCTCTTGAATTTTTTGTTACATTTGATTAAGAAATACTTTCACTTGATTAGTCTTTTACATGACAACTTATGCTTTTAGTGTTTGGATTAATCTAGTTTATAGATTTGTCTGAAAGACTCATTTAGTCTGAACTATTTGAGTATGATTGGTTTGAATCATTCCAACTTTAGATAAGAATCTACATTTTGAATCAACATTATTTATTTATTCATTCACAGATTCTGCCTTTTGGTTATTTTACACGATCAGAAAATGTTTTGTAGCCACTCCGACATATGTTATTCACACAGGTTCTGTCTATTTGCTGCAGAAGACGTTTGTTTTGTTGTTGTTCCTTAATCTTGATCCATTTTTTTTTCCCTGTATCAGCCATGAAAACACGGCGGAGGGAGTACTTCTCTGAGGATAGTCTAACCGTTTCCCGACGCAAATCTCGAGCTTCGACCTCATCAACGAATGCAAAAGAAGAAAACTCAGAGACGACGATCTCAACTGATCTCATCACCGAAATCCTCTTGAGATTGCCGGGGAAGTCTGTAGCGAGAAGTCGATGTGTATCAAAGCTCTGGAACTCCACTCTTCGCGATCCGTATTTCACTGAGCTCTTCTTGACCATGTCTTTGACTCGTCCTCGGCTCTTGTTCTCCTTCGTGAAACACCGTGAGCTCTACTTCTTCTCGGCACCTCAAGGTGAGAGCTCCTCGTCTCCTGTAAGCGCAGATTATCATGTCCAGTTCAAATTAGAAGATTCATACAGAGTTTGTGGTCATATCCTTGGTTTGGTCTGCCTTACTGATCACCGAGACGGGAATGGAAGGAAAGAAACGGCTCATGTGATATGTAAACCAAGCACAGGCAGTTGTTGCCTTTACCAAAAGTGAAGACGGCATGGGGCCTTATAACGGAGAGTTTTCTTGGGTTTGATCCGACTGATCAAGAATTCAAGGTATTGTTCATAACCGGTGGGTTTGAGCATCGAGTTCTGACGTTAGGGACTCGAAAACTTGAATGGAGAATGATCGAATGTGGCATTCCAAGTCATTATCCTACTAGATGCGGGATATGCATCAATGGTGGTGTGTATTATGAAGCTTGGGTCAAAAACTCGGCTCTTGTGATAGTTTGCTTTGATGTGAGGTTGGAGAAGTGTAGAGTTATTAACGCAGCTGAGGGCATGGATCTAAGTCTTGGTACTCTTGTAAACTACAAGGGAAAATTAGGTCTTCTTACTGTTGAAAGCAGACGTTTTGAGCTGTGGGTTCTGGTAGACGCAGAGAGGCATGAATGGTCGAAGAAGTATCCGTATTGCCACTGCCTCTGTGAAGAGTGTAGCTGGAAAGGCCACGTTATACATTGTTGGAGTGGCTGGTGGTACCGATGAAGTTGTCTTGTGGTCGCGATCTGTACGTGCTCCGTTGTATGTTTACTACTACAACATGGAGAGGAACACTTTCAGAAGAGTTGAGATCAAAGGAATGGACGCGCGGTTAGGTACTATTTCGGTTGCATGACTCTAGACTATGTAGAGGACGTGAAGCTTATGGAACATGTTTAGGACTATGTAGAGGACGTGAAGCTTATGGAACATTTTCTGTTTTTTGTTGTTGTTATTGTAGTGTTGCTACCTTAAGTAAGAGAAGTGAAGTTCCTTTCAGTTTATGTGTTACTGTTTCTATTTCTAACATCTTATCTACTTGGTATGAGTTGTAAAAGGCTAGAAACGAGAGGGATGATGGAAACTCTTGTTGTTGCAAACTCTTCAAATACTATTGCAATATATGAGATCTTTTGACGCTAAAATCTAAGAGAGAATGGTTTTAATTAGATTCAAGAAATAATAAAATGTTGATTATCAAGAAGAAGAAGTTGAAGAAACTTTAAAGGCTTTAGTGACTAGTCAAATTATCAAAAAACTTGATCAAACTATATGATCTTGTTTGCTTAGAAAATAAAACTACATATTTTACTATAAGAAACTTATTAGTAACGAGATTTAGATAAAATACTTTATTAGTTTGAGTTAATCGATGATTTGATGCCGAAGTTGGAAGCACATGATTGAAGTCGATGTCTCACTGGAGTGATCTTTGCTATGTCATTCCACCAAACTAGCCCACAGATTTTGTCTACGCTAGCTAACACTGTTTACAATCACCACTATGCCATTGTTGTTACAATCACCACTATGCCACTGCTTACATCTCCTTTTTTTTTTTTTTTTTTTTTTTTTTTTTTTTTTTTAATGAAACTTTTACAAAAGGAGATGCCCCAACTCCAAAGACAAAAGGACAAAAAAACCAGCTTTGAAAATACGTAAACCCGGAGGTCAAGTAGGAGGTAACAGAGGGAAGATTCTGCTGTTCCCGAGCAAGACTGTCTAACCAAATCTCAGAGTTTGTTGAATATCCTTGATGATTGCATAGGCGGGTTTGGGAGGTTTAGAATGAAGGCTCGATTTTCTCTCTTTCCAAATGCAATAAACCGAGGCTTGGTGAATTAGTCTGAAGATAAGAACCAAGTTTTTATCCCTAATCGGTCTTTCAACCATCTCAAGCCATTCTCAAACGAAGAAGGTGGAGTAAGATGGAGTTTTGAACAGAAGAAAGACCAGACCTGCGAGCTGAAGACACAATCGAAGAAGAGATGCTGCCTGGATTCATCACCGGAGTTACAAAGCAGACATGTGGGGGAAACTTGTAAACCCCAGCTTAACAGACGATCTTTGGTCGGTAATCACTGTCTCACATTGACCCAAGAGATGAAGGAATGTTTAGGTATTTGGCCAGCGAACCTATTAAATGTGTTGTTATTATTTCTCATTAAAGGATAAATGTGTGTACAGTACAACTATATATAGTAAATGAGATACAAGCTAAAGGAAACTTCTAATCTCACTTATACAAATTAACCGGACTATACCGGACTATACTCTCAATATACCCCCCTCAAGCCGTAGTTTCAGAACCTCGTTGTGATGAGAAAAGGCTTGAAACTGACATGCGATTGAGTAGTGAGAAGAAAGGACCCGGATGAAGTGGCTTCGTGAGAATGTCTGCATGTTGATTCTCGCTTGCAACTGACATCAACTTCAGGAAGCCATTCTTCACTTGATCACGCACAGTGTGACAATCAATCTCTACATGCTTCGTACGCTCGTGGAAAACAGGGTTCGTGGCGATGTAGATAGCAGATTTGTTGTCACAGAAGAGTTTCGCAGAAGTGGACACTTCAACCTGCAGAAACGTGAGTAAATGCTGCAGCCAAAGGAGCTCACAGGTCGTTTGAGCCATGCTACGATACTCAGATTTGGTGCTGCTACGACTCACCACACCTGCTTCTTTGACTTCCAGGTGATAAGGGATTTGCCAAGGTATACACAATAGCCAGTGATGGAACGGCGAGACTCTGTATCCGTGCCCCAGTCAGCATCCGAGAAAGCATTAAGGCATAGAGTTGATGAAGCAGAGTAAAACAGACCTTGACCCGGGTTATTTTTGATGTAACGGAGGATCCTATGTGCAACAGCAAGATGCACATCCGTAGGGCAATGCATGAACTGGCTAAGGCAATGAACAGCGAACGTAATATCAGGTCGCGTTATCGTCAAGTACAGAAGACGACCCACCAGAGCACGATAAGGATTCAGATCAAGTAACGCAGTGCCAGAGCTCTTGGTCAACTTGACAGTAGGATCCATCGGAACGGAACACGGTTTGCAACCCAGAAGACCAGCATCAGATAGGAGGTTCAAGGCATACTTCCGTTGACAGACAGAGATACCGAGGGAATATCGAGCTATCTCGAGACCGAGGAAGAAACGAAGCTCGCCAAGATCCTTGATTTTGAATTCTGAGCTGAGAGACGTCTTGATAGAAGCAACCTCTGCATCGTTGTTGCTCGCAATCATGATGTCATCGACATACACCAAAACAGCCGTGAACTTGTCACCAACTTGCTTAGCAAAGAGTGTGTTATCAGACACTGATTGCGTGAAACCAGAACGGAGAAGCACATCAGATAGACAATGATACCACTGCCGAGACGCTTGCTTCAAACCGTACAAGGACTTGTGAAGACGGCACACTGGATTCGGAGGAAGAGTACCAGATGATGGAGTGTAGCCTTGAGGCAGGCTCATGTAAATTTCTTCGTCCAAATCACTGTGAAAAAAAGCATTAGACACATCCATTTGGCAAAGACTCCATCCTTTGATAGCCGCCAAAGCAAGGAGAAGTTTCACACTGGTGAGCTTAGCCACAGGGGAAAAGGTTTCAGTAAAATCAACACCTTGTGAAACCTTTCGCGACCAATCGCGCTTTATACCGTTCAATAGTCCCATCAGCCTTATACTTAATAGTATAGACCCATTTACAACCCACCACATTCTTACCAGGAGGCAAAGATTCAATAGTCCAAGTCCTATTAATCTCCATAGCCTCAAGTTCTTCATTCATCGCATGCCTAAAATGAGGAGAAGTCATAGCCTGCTTGAATGTCGTTGGTTCCGTCTCAAGGGAATAGGAAAAAACATAGGATTGATATAGTGGGGCTAGGGCTGAATAGGTAAGGACATTTGAGAGAGGGTAAACAGTGGTGGAAGGAATAGATTCAGAAGGAGGAATATCAAAAGGAGTGGCCAAAGATCTAGAGGTCTGAGTAAAGGAACAGTGATACTCAGATAAGTAACCGGGAGCCTTAGGCACACGTTTGGGTCGTGACATGTTATTGAGAAGTCGACTTTGTCCTGTGTCCTGTGAAACAGTCTCTCGTGATAAAGATGTGGCATTAGAGCGTGACGCAGATGCATGAGATGTATGAGATGCATCAGAGACATGAGAGTCAACAGGAACAACATGAAAATTATCAGGAACAACATGAGAATCAGATGCAATAGGAGCAATATTAGAAACAGGGGAATGAAAATCCAAGCCAACTGGAATAGGTAAAGGTAAAATCGTTTTGGAAAACACATCTGGAGAAACACTTGAAGAATCGGTTTTGAAAGGGAAAACTGTTTCATGAAAAACTACATTTCGACTTATTGAAATAACGTTTGTTTCCAGATGTAAGACCTTGTAACCTTTGCAACCTGAAGGATAACCCAAGAAAACACATGCATCAGCACGAGGTGAAAATTTGTGGCGATCTTTAAGCAAAGTAGAGACATAGCAAAGACAACCAAAAGAACGAAGAAATGAGCAATCCGGACTTTTCTTAGCCAAAACTTCAAAAGGACTAAGTTTAGCCAAAAGCAAAGATGGAGTACGATTAATGAGGAAAACCGCAGTATATATGCATTCACTCCAATAAACCAATGGCAAATTTGATTGAAACAGTAATGCACGAGCAACATTAAGAATATGCTGATGCTTACGTTCCACAACTGAATTTTGCTGGGGTGTATATGCACAAGAATATTGATGCACAATGCCAAGATCATGAATGATTTTAGGAAAAGCAAGTTCAGGGGTATTATCACTGCGAATCATTTTAATAGTCAAGTTATATTGAGTCTGAGTATGCTTGACAAAAGATGGGAAAATGGTGGTAACTTCACTTTTATTGCGCATCATATAGATCCAAGTTACACGGCTACAGTCATCTACAATTGTAAGAAAATACTTGTAGCCCTCAATAGATTCTACTGAAATCGGACCCCAAACATCCAGATGAACAAGATCAAATGGAGCTTTTGACAAACGACTATTTGAAGGAAATGAAAAACGTTTTTGTTTAGCTAATTTCATCGTTTTTACGCCGAATCTCGGTCCTCTTCTTTCTCGCCATTTCTCTGTATTAAATGTGTTGTTGTCCAGGAGTTGTATGAAACTTGTGCCCTGGAGGATAGCCATGAAGTTTGAAGCATTTCTGAATGACATGACCAAGCTGGCCACAGTGGGTACAAACCGGACGCTGACGAGGACGATAGGAGTTGTTATACTGAGTAGCAAAAGCAGCATTATCAGCGAGATTCTCAGATGACATTGATTGAGTATCATCGTGAGGTCCAGAGTTCTGGAAAACAACATTGTCCTGCCTCGTACTTGGTTTGATAGACATCTGGCGTTCGTCTTGTGCCACCATGTTGAATACATCCTCAAGAGAGGGAATTGGTTTCATCATCAAGATGTGGCGACGAGTTGGCTCAAAAGCTTCATTAAGATCCATCAAGAACTTCATAACTCTGCTTCTCTGTTGTAAAGATTCCCAGAGAGCAGCAGCATTACATTCACAAAGGCCGCACATACATACAGGAAGCTCAATGTAATTCTTATACTCCTCCCAGAGAGTCATCAATTCAGTATAGAAGCTACTAACATCCATAGAGCCTTGTCGGAGACTGCCTAAACGTTGTTCTATCTCAAATACACGCGGAGCATCATCCTGCTTAAATCTAGCTAGGATGTTCTTCCAAATCGGTTCCGCAGTACTCATAAACAACAAGCTCTGAGCGATTTTCTTACTCACCGAGTTCATTATCCAGGTAGCGACCATGTCGTTGCATCGCGACCAAGAACCGGCATCGCGATGATCCGCAGGTGGCTTTGGAATCGTTCCGTCAATGAAACCCAGCTTATTATGCACATTCAACGCCATCCGAACTGATCGACGCCACGAGTGAAAGTCTGCGCCGGATTGAAGACGATCGGAGACAAGGATTAAGCCGGCGTGATCAGAACTGTGGAGGAAATACGGATTTTCGTATTGATCCAGGAACATCGGCGGAGCTGGATGTGTAGCCATGAGTAAGAATGATTGTGCCGAATAGAAGAGAAGGCAACAATCGAGAGGTCAACAAAACAGAGAAATGGCGAGAAAGAAGAGGACCGAGATTCGGCGTAAAAACGATGAAATCAGCGACAAAAACGCAATTGTGAGCTCGGAGAGTAAGCACAGAGGTGAGAGACTCATCGATTCGAAGCAATGGAGGGAAGATCCAAAGAGATTTGAGAGGAATCGAAGAAAATCACACCGAGAAAGTGCCGAGAAAGTGATGAGAAAACACAAGAAAGCGGAAAAGAAAGTTTGTTATTTTCTCTCTGATACCATATTAAATGTGTTGTTGTCCAGGAGTTGTATGAAACTTGTGCCCTGGAGGATAGCCATGAAGTTTGAAGCATTTCTGAATGACATGACCAAGCTGGCCACAGTGGGTACAAACCGGACGCTGACGAGGACGATAGGAGTTGTTATACTGAGTAGCAAAAGCAGCATTATCAGCGAGATTCTCAGATGACATTGATTGAGTATCATCGTGAGGTCCAGAGTTCTGGAAAACAACATTGTCCTGCCTCGTACTTGGTTTGATAGACATCTGGCGTTCGTCTTGTGCCACCATGTTGAATACATCCTCAAGAGAGGGAATTGGTTTCATCATCAAGATGGTATATTGAGAGTATAGTCCGGTATAGTCCGGTTAATTTGTATAAGTGAGATTAGAAGTTTCCTTTAGCTAATGGACAAATGCAACAGTGATCAGAAGCAGCAGCTTTACTCAAATGCAGAATACCCGAAAGATGTTGTAATTTGGCCTGAGATGGATGTCCAAGGCGCTGGTGCCAAAGAAGAGCATCATCATGCAAGGAACCACAGAAATTGGAAGAAGGATCAGCAGGAACTTGAAGAATGTAAAGATTGTTGATAAGAGTGCCTCTACCAATCATCAAGCCCTGAGTAGACTTCTGAATGATGCAATGATCAGCATAAAAATGAGCAGAACGATTATCATGCTTGTGCAAACTACTAACACTGATGAGATTAAAACGAAAAGAAGGAACATGCAAAACATTATGCAATGTCAAAGATGAATGAATATGCACAGTGCCTGTGTGACTAATGTTTTCTCTAATGCCATTAGGGAGAGAGACTGTAACACTGGTCACTGGAAAAGTTTCACTAAAAAAGACAAGTCAGAGCAAACGTGAGTCGTGGCTCCACTGTCAATTATCCAAGAACCACTTGGTAAGGAATTGTAAAGAGAAGATAAGCATTGGTGTTGAAAAGTAAGAGCAATTGTTCTCAAAACGAAGGCTAGAAGAAGGAAAAGGATATTATAAGATGGAAAAGAGACGATACCAGCAGACGATTCAGCAGCCATATGACCCCCCTCAGTAATAGACGCACGTTGATGAGGAACATGAGATTCAGGAGGCTTAACGTGACACTGGAGCTGTTGAAGCAAACTCTGGAACTGGTCAGAATTGAGTTGACTCAATTGATCGCATTCGTGGCAGGAGCCGGCAAGTAAAGAGGAGCAGTCATCACATTCGCCACTGTGTTAGTCTTCTGAAAAGACGGAGGATTGGGGCGAGTCTGAGACTGAGCTTGAGAATTAACCGGATTCTGTCCACGAGATTGCTGAGAAGAGTGTTGTTGTCCAGGAGTTGTATGAAACTTGTGCCCTGGAGGATAGCCATGAAGTTTGAAGCATTTCTGAATGACATGACCAATCTGGCCATAGTGGGTACGGACGCTGACGAGGACGATAGGAGTTGTTATACTGAGTAGCAAAAGCAGCATTATCAGCGAGATTCTCAGATGACATTGATTGAGTATCATCGTGAGGTCCAGAGTTCTGGAAAACAACATTGTCCTGCCTCGTACTTGGTTTGATAGACTTCTGGCGTTCGTCTTGTGCCACCATGTTGAATACATCCTCAAGAGAGGGAATTGGTTTCATCATCAAGATGTGGCGACGAGTTGGCTCAAAAGCTTCATTAAGACCCATCAAGAACTTCATAACTCTGCTTCTCTGTTGTAAAGATTCCCAGAGAGCAGCAGCATTACATTCACAAAGGCCGCACGTACATACAGGAAGCTCAATGTAATTCTTATACTCCTCCCAGAGAGTCATCAATTCAGTATAGAAGCTACTAACATCCATAGAGCCTTGTCGGAGACTGCCTAAACGTTGTTCTATCTCAAAATACACGCGGAGCATCATCCTGCTTAAATCTAGCTAGGATGTTCTTCCAAATCGGTTCCGCAGTACTCATAAACAACAAGCTCTGAGCGATTTTCTTACTCACCGAGTTCATTATCCAGGTAGCGACCATGTCGTTGCATCGCGACCAAGAACCGGCATCGCGATGATCCGCAGGCGGCTTTGGAATCGTTCCGTCAATGAAACCCAGCTTATTATGCACATTCAACGCCATCCGAACTGATCGACGCCACGAGTGAAAGTCTGCGCCGGATTGAAGACGATCGGAGACAAGGATTAAGCCGGCGTGATCAGAACTGTGGAGGAAATACGGATTTTCGTATTGATCCAGGAACATCGGCGGAGCTGGATGTGTACCATGAGTAAGAATGATTGTGCCGAATAGAAGAGAAGGCAACAATCGAGAGGTCAACAAAACAGAGAAATGGCGAGAAAGAAGAGGACCGAGATTCGGCGTAAAAACGATGAAATCAGCGACAAAAACGCAATTGTGAGCTCGGAGAGTAAGCAGAGAGGTGAGAGACTCATCGATTCGAAGCAATGGAGGGAAGATCCAAAGAGATTTGAGAGGAATCGAAGAAAATCACACCGAGAAAGTGCCGAGGAAGTGATGAGAAAACACAAGAAAGCGGAAAAGAAAGTTTGTTATTTTCTCTCTGATACCATATTAAATGTGTTGTTATTATTTCTCATTAAAGGATAAATGTGTGTACAGTACAACTATATATAGTAAATGAGATACAAGCTAAAGGAAACTTCTAATCTCACTTATACAAATTAACCAGACTATACCGGACTATACTCTCAATAGAACCAAATCAATTTAAACCATTCGACCTCGGCCTCTTGTGGATGAAGAGCAAAGCCGTCCCTGAGAATCCGGAGGCCTCAAGCTAGGAGGGAGAGGGGGAGAATCAAACCCACCACCTCTAAACTAAGTGAAATCAGCCTTAATCATTCCTTCTAGTGACACTTTTTGCTAAATAAAGGGTCGAAATCTATATAAGGTGTTTTTGCAAAATTATGAGCCGCAAACCCAAGCTTGTTTTGTTTGGGCTCAGGGCCGATTCTGATGAAGAGCTTGCCATGTTTCTGCTAAAGAGAAATTTGCAGTTGGAGGATTGTTTCCCGTTTTCCTGGCGCATAAGAGTGATGATGGGGTACCGACTTCTGCAACAACAAAGTTATCCAACTCATTTTTTGAATTATGAGATTTTAAAAAAAAACAGTCGCATTTAAAGTTCGAAAAATCTACTATGTACAAATTGTCATAAGATAAGTATTTGTACCATGTCAGTTTTTACTAGTAATCTTCAGTCTTCACTTAGGTTGGTATTTCGTAATGAGGTTTGTGCATGGGATGAGAGTTTGACGCGAAATGTTTTCTGAAAAAAAAAGAAATATGCAATGATTTCATTCAATCATATTCTTACGTTAATATTTTTTTTTTAAACTATAGTTTTTGAGTTTTTATATACCACATATTCAAGAGTTTAAATTTAATGAAAAATTGAATACGCTTTTTTGCTGATTGACCAAAAAATACTTTTTACGTTTTGGTTGAACAAAGTCCAAAAGAGCTATTAGTCAAAAATAAAAAATGTCCAAAAGAGTTGGGTCATGTTTTTGGTTAACATACATTTTGAACTCACATTTGCACCAAACAAAACATACATTTTGACCCAATTAACTTAAAATAAATCATCCCATTCGAGAACCAAAATCTAACACACACACACAAAAGGGGTTTTCGAAGCTTTTAATGCAGTAAATAAAAGGGAAAAAAAAAAAAGTTGAGAATTGAGATTTGGTTTGGTTGGGTTATTAAGCTTTTTGGTTTCGGGATTTCAAATTTCAAATGCTTCAAGCTTGCCAATTTCATTACTAACTAGATGATGACCCGTGCCCTGCACGGGGGAAGAGTTTTATTAATTTCGTTTAAAAAATATCAATAGTGTCTTTTCTGTTTATTTTAGATGTGGGATAAGACTGAATCAGTTAATTATTTTCTTCATCGCAATACAGTATAAACTCTATAAATTAATAAAGTTGGGACTTTGATATTTTATTAATTTATAGAGTTATTAAATTATCGATCTTGAATAAAATAGTTGTTTTATTAAAAAATAATTAAAATAAATATTAAATTAAATAAAAATAAGAAATTTTAAAAGTTTTTATATTTTGTATAGGTTCATTCTAAAATTAGGGATAAATTTTAAATATATTTGAGTTTTAGTACAAAAGAAATAAAAGTTATACTTATATTTTAGTATATTATCATAGATATGTATTTACATAAATTTTTATTTATGGTAATTATTAATTTATGATATTAATGGGACCATATATTTTCATAGTAGTTTCAAAATTATTATTATCTTATTATTTTATCGAATTTTGCTAATTTTTACACTGACCCGACTTGGGACCGGAGAAAATTATTATTTTATAGAGTTTATTAATTTATCGAGTATCAATTTATAGAGTTTTTATAATGTTGAAAAGGAAAACCCAGCTTGAATAATGATATAATGGAGGTTAACTGAGATCGTAAAGACATTATAGGCGTTCGAAACTCTATGAAAATCTGCAAAATCCCTAATATATTAAAAGAGAAAACACTAACTAAATAACCTTTGTCTAATGTGTTATTAACAAGAATGTCATTGCTTAGGTGTCATCACTAGGTTCACTCTTAGAGCAATTTCTAATTAAGACAAGCTTTACTAGACAAATTACAATATATGCCATTGCATATTATGCTTACAACCAAATAATGAAATTAAATTTATCATTCTCTTTCCTTAATTGGCAACTACGAAAATTAGTAAATAAGGAAGATATGAGATTCAATTTAATTCCATCATAATAATTTCTTTTAAAATCAGTATACATCTTCTGTTTAAATTTATTTAATAAAATAATTTGAATCACAATATAAAAAATCTATCAAAAAAAATCTAAAACTTTTTCTGTACATGTTATGATTTGAATTTTTAAAAACAAAATAATATAAATTGTTTCGTATATAACCTCATTTAGTAGGTATCCAAATGTAATTTTTTTTTCATTTAATATGGTTTTTTAATTAAAATCTATAATAAATCGAATAAAAAAAGTTCTTTTTATAAATATTTTATTTTGATTAAACTTTTGAATATTACTCTATCTGTTTCAACTTTCTATACAAAATTAATTATATTTTTGCTGTTTTGACAATTTGGATTCTGCATATTATTTTCTGATTGGTTGGATTGTTTTGAAATTATAATAAAGCATGTTTTAGTTTTGAAAGAAAGAAAAAAATTAGTTCTAATCCGTGTCCACACAGCTAAAACTTTTTATCTTATGAAATACATGATGTATAATTTTTCTAAAGAATAATGTTTTATTTTCAATTTTTTTCTTTAAACTATCTTATTATATTATAGTTATTTGAGTTTTATGTATCTCGGTTAAATCTATCATATTTAATATGTGGTTACGATCAATGCTTTAATTTATTTCTTTTTAAATGGATTAAAATGCCTAATTTCCATACTATAAACGAATAACAAAGGTTAAAAATCTCTCGCATAAAATGTCGAAATATTTAAATAAACAATTTTTAATAAAAATACAAATTCAGAAACTATCACCCCGTGCTGGGCACGGGTCAAACCCTAGTATATATTATATACCTTTACAAACTTTAATCTTGCCATACCTTTACAAAATAGATATTATAGGCGTTCACCCTGATTCTAAATAGTAATGTTTATTTCCAGTTGTAAACACACCCAGATTTTACGTGATCTATATTATACTTTAGGCATATAACTAAAATAAACAAAAAACCTTATTTCCTATGAATTTCGAAGTCCTAGTGATATATTTTGTGTATCCTTTCCATTGATCCAAACTGTATCAATGTGACTCACTTCCACAAATTGACCGATAACATCTTATATTAACAAAATAAAGATGATATAGTTAGGTCAATTATTATCATGATGAATAATAATAAAAACACAAACAAAAAAAAACTAAACTTTGCTACACAATAAGTGATATTCGGAATGAGGTGTTGCTATTGCTTCTTGGTGGTTCTTATATAGTATGTAGATTAGGGCTTACTGCAATATTGACTCACATTTACTTGTGATTGAAGAATCAAATCTCACTTACCAAAAGTTTGATAACAATCACACATATTACCATTCACATTATTATTTGATTATCATCTTCTGCTTATAATTAGCTCATAATTTAATGCTAAGTATAATTATAATTGAGGAATGATCTAATTACAATTAGCTCCTATATTTGGATTAAACAATAAAACTTTCTTCCCTTATCCAAGTAATATAACGAATTAATTTCAAAATTCTTCCATATCATAACGGTAAACTTTACTAAAATATAAGTCAAATAATGATATATACATTGACAATGATAATGATGAAGGTTTGACTTTACGTTAAACCTCAAGTTATAAAAGCCATTTTTTTATTTACATTTATTTAAAATGCCATGCACATAAATAAATAAAAATGTCTTGCACAAGACGATTTGTTATCACCTATTCTTATTGCATGAGTTGCATTTTGTCTTTTATAATGTATCATGCAAAAACCAGTAAAATAATTAATTGATTTAATCCACACTGAAACTCACAACCATTAATTTTAAAATAAGTGAAATGAATGTATAATGAATTCATAATTTTTTTTATGAAATTATTTGTTGAAACAAACTAATATATGTCATTATCAAACTCACTATTATATCTAAATATTCTTGATTAAATGTTGAATATAAAACAATGAGGTGTATAAAATTAAATGATAGAATGAATAAATAAAATCCATACGTACGTACATTAATCAATTGCATAATATACTTGATTAGTTATTTTATGGTAATAATATGTTTGGTTGGTTATTTTATGATTTTGTTTGTAACCAAATAATTAAGAGAAAGAATGCAATGACATATAATGTAAATAGTCTAGTAAATGTTGTCTTAATTAAAAGTGGTTCTAAGAGTGAACTTGGTGATGACACGTCAGCATGGCATTTTTGTTAATATCACATGAGCTAAAGGTTATTTTGATAGTGTTTTCTCTTTTAATATATTAGGAATCTCCGCCGATCTATCGACTCTCACTCTCGCCATTCTTCTTCTGCTCTCGTGTCTGCAACAGTTTCGTCTTCCCGTTGAAAAAGGTAAAGCCTTTACTCTCTCTCTCGTTTCCTCTAATTTCGTGACGTTTCAAATTCCGGGAATTTTAGATTGGGCTTTACTAGTAGTCTTAGTCTTAAATGCAATACTTTTTGAATTGAGGCTGTGATGGACATTCTTGGTTTGCGCTGGTCACTGTTCCTCTAGATTCATAAACCCTAACCTAAATGTTTCAACAATTTTGGTTCTTGTCGCTTCTAGTTTCTTTTTTTTTCTTTTTCTCGTGAGTGTTTAATTGGGTTTTGGGGAAAGAATATGAGCTTGAATCGAATATAGCTGGATCTTGCTTAGACTAAGAATTGGTTGATTGATGAAACCTGGCAATTACATTCACTACAAGAATTTAGTGAAATAGCTACCGTTTATTTTGTAGCAACAAGACACAATCCGTAGCAAAAACTTGGAAGGCTACGGATGGCGACAGATGAATTTTGTTGCCTCAGCTCCGACGCTAAAATTGGTTTGTCGCTATTTTGTTGCCAATTTGCGACAGATTAGCGAGAGCATCTTCCGCAGCCAATGGTTACGATATGGCTACGACATCTTCCGTTGCTCATTAGCGATGGTTTAGCGAAGGATTTTGTGTAGCTATTTGGCTACAAATTATAACTACGGTTTACCCCTAACAATTTTGTAGCGTACATAGCAACATATTTGGATACGGATTAAATGTGGCTAAGTGTTAGTTTAGCAAAGATTTTGTTGTTGCCTTAGCTAGAGAAGTTGCTTTGTATTAATTGTAGCTAGGATAATATAGTTTATAATTTCTCAATAATGTTTGCATTTTTGATAAATAATAAATCTTATATTGTAAAAAACAAGAAATCCAAAATAATCAAAACTAATATAATCGTTAAGCATTCATTACAAAAGTCAAAACATTCTAGTAGACAAACAAATAATATAACATCCGAAAAGTGAAAACATAAAACATACGCAAAGTTTAAACCAAGCTTACATACAAAATAATTTGTTTGTTATGTCTTCAGTACAAATAAAAGTTCTAGCAAGAAGAAATGTCAACATTACCTAGACTATATTCATCTGCACGTTGGTGCTGAGAGGTGAAGAAGGGGAAGGATCGATTGAGGCAATCAGTAGCTGCTGGCTCATAAGATTGACAGCTCCAGTCCAATTGAGCAGATCCCTCTCATAACGAGCTTGAGAGAGAAGAACAACGACTGGTGGATCAATGGGATCATAGTTATCCATCTGTGAAGTTCCAAGTCCAAGCAGTTACTGTATGACTACCTACAATAACATTTGTTCAGGGAAAGAAAGCATAGTAGTGCTATTTTAAACAAAAAAAACTAAAGAACCAAAAACCAAATCATCAATATATAAGGAATAAAAAGCCTCACTCGCATAAGTGGTGTAATTGGTGTTTGTGAGTTGGACCCTTGGCTGACAAACTCATCATGATCAATTTTGGAGAGTTGTTGCTAAAGAACAATGGACTCAGCTTCTTCAATGATCTTCTTCGCATGTTTGTCAACAAAACTTCCATCAATCTTCATGTGCGTCTTCCACACTAAGTACGTTATTGCTGGCTCCTCACCCAACCCTATCATCTGTATACATTTGTTAAGCATAATTGTATCTGGTAAGCATCAAATATCTGATTAATCTGGTAAGTATAACAAAAAAAATTGTAAGGATGTATCCTGCATATTAAACATTGATTCTTACAATTTAAAGCTGATATATCAATGTCAATCACAAAACTACACAAACGAAGACTCCATAATCAAAAACAACACTAGACAATTGACAAAATTTTCCAGTTTTTCACTTATTTCAGGGTAAGAAAAACATAAGCTATTCAAATCTTACCACCAAATCAGACCACCATTTGTCTTGCGGCTCTTGCCAAACCTCACCAAAATTCCACCAAAGTCCATCAAAATCATTGGTAAAAGCCCTTTTAATGTCATATTTGACCTCATTGTCGATGGAAATCCTATCACAAAAGGGCATACTATTGAGTTAGTGAAGAAGAATACTAGTTATATGAAACTTGAAATGTTATACAGACATTACACGGTAAACTCTTACCAAAGTGCCCTATCTTTCTTCTCGGGATGCAGAGTTGGCTGGTCTTGTCGCGCAGGCACCTGTAATAGCTCAGTGATGCTACGGAGAGGAAATACTGGCGGTGAACATGAATTACTACCCCTTGAGTAACCAGGGACCTTTCGTCCAACATTCCCTGTAAAACACCAAAGAAAAATCCAACGACAATGTCACACAAGAACCATAAACCGCACAAAAAAAGCCAAGATTGAAAGAAGAATTAACCCCTAAATTACTTTCAGTATATAAACAGAAGAGCATAATATAACCTAAAACCCATAGATTTCAAGATGAGTTGAACTCTAAATCGATTTTACCCAGAAGAAGGGATGAACCTAAATCAATTTATAGAAGAATCGAACTCTAAATTTCTGCAAGAAAATAGAAGACTGAATTAAGGATTGAACATTAGAGGGAATCAATCTAGGTATTTAAGCAGCATCGAACCTTGGAGTGAAGGAGGAAAGGAGCGATTTGATGATGAATCGATTTGAGAGAGAGAGAGAGATGCAGCGAGATATTATCAGGATATCAGCCGCGAAGAAGAAAAGGGAAAAGAAGAAGAGGGAAACGAAAGGGTTTCTGCCGCTGAGAAGAAGAGGGAAAGGAAGATTTAGCTGATGAGCAAATCATGGGAATTTCAGATTTGGCGAAATTTTATGGCGGAAACTCAAATTGTTTCCCAAAATTTTCCCGGTCACTCCAAATAGTTCCCCAAAATCTATCGCTAAGTATTACTCCGTGTATTACTAACACTCTGACCAAGCAAAATATAAATATCGCCTATAACCGGATGTTATCATTTTGACAAAAAATAATTACATAAAAACTGTGGAATCTATAGAGAATATTGTATTTTTAAACATCTGTTAGCTAGTTTTTTAGATTTACATGATTTTAGATTCTTTAGTTAAAAGATAATTTGTAAGAACCAACTTTGAATTTATAAGAAAGAAATGTTTTTTCTTAAACCCAACGTTTAGTTATAAGAAGCATAATGTGATTTAAGAAAAAAATTTATATAAGAAGCATAATTTATAAGATAATCTTTAAGGATATGAGTATAAATGCCAAATCAATTCATTAACGTAACGTAGATATTATAGAATCACTCAGACCCCGCATAATCCACCGTTCGAAGTTGTATAGTGATCTTCTATAGTTGGTTCTTCAACTATTGATGGATTGTCCATTTTCATTTCATGCAAAAATTAGAATAGATAAGTTAAATTTTGGCTTTAATTGATTTAGTAAGTCTAAGTAAGATAGTAAACTGCTATGAATTTCGCCTAAAGAAACAAGTTAAACTAAACAAATTTAAACTAAAGCAAAAATGTAGTTTCAGAAAATTTACCAAAAGCACATGCTATGTAACGTTTTAATCATTCCGGACCATAGAGAGTTCACCTTGGACCCGTATGTTTCGTCTTGATCTGTTACCGACTTACCCTCAAGAACAAAACTAGTTTATTTTTTTTGTAACAAGGCTAGAATTGTGAACTAGGTTCGAGGTTAGCATATAACTATTGTTTGGGATGAGAAAGGTGAGATGAGACTGAGTAGATCACCTCATTACATAAACTGACGATCGGTACCAACGTACCGTAATTATTATTTATCTTGGACGTACACCAACATAACATAAACTGTATCGTTTTGACGTTTCTTAAAACCTATGAGTTCTTATTACAAGTGAAAGGAACAAAGAACAAAGAGTCTTCCTCCAACAAACAGAGAACAAAACCAGAGTACTAAAAACAGAGCCACAACGACAAAAACTCCAAAACCAAAGAACAGAGAACCAGTTACACACATTTCATCGTAGCGCTTCTTGCTATAAGCGATGCACATTGTTTGACCAGTCGACTCCAACCATTAATCATCTCCAAAGATTGTTACCGGGAAACTTGCCAAGCCGTTGGGCGAGTGATCATTCCTACTAGCTCAGAGGCCTCTATCTATAAAACTGAAGGCTCTTCTACTATATAATTACCATTCCTTCATGGTTCCTAATTATCCACACGACCACACGCTCCACCGACACGTTTATTCTTCAAACTAATCGACATAACAAAATGATTTCAAGAACATAAACGCGTTGGTTAAAACAGAGAGAGATTTTTCGATGCACTCAAAGGAGAAACCACTTAAAAGTAAAAGCCCTCCACAAACAAAACGATTTCAAGAACATGTGCACCCGCCACCCTACATTACGTCTTGATCCGTTCTTGACCATCGAAGATTGAACTAGTTTTTTTGTTTCTTGTAACAAGGCTAGTTATAAGTTATATATTCAAATCTTGTTGTGTGTAAGTGCATGTGTAAAAATAATCCATAATTTATTTTTCGTAAAAAAATGAAGGAACAGAGCAAAGAGTCAAAACAGAGTATCAACCACAAAAATAAAACCATGGCTCATGAAAGAGGACAACAACGAGACCTTTGCCTCTTTTTCAAGAGCATAAAAAGAGAATATTCAGACTACACCATGGTAATTGGCATCTCATTTTCGAAGAGCTCTCGCATCCATCTCGGTCCACCTTTTGCCACATACGAAATTAGACGATTGTCCATGACCACACTTTTTGCAATCTCAAAGGCTCTTCGGTTACAATTTTGAGCTTCGAAACAGTTGTCTCATCCTACTTGATCTCTAGTTAGCTCAATGAGACCTGCAACATGTCCCAGAAAGGCTGGCCAGTCTGTCAGACTTATGAAGAGTTTTGATCACTTCCATTCATGACACAACGAACGTACGTGTCGTTTTCCACATGGAGAATTACTCATACTCTCGAGGGCCCATTCCCAGCTTTTAATCTTTCTATCAAATCAGTTCAACTTGTGAATAAGATTGTCGACTGTGATATAATAGCTAGCCTGATTTGTCTCTCACAGGTCACAACGCATGAGACACATAGAAACCACTAGAAACCTATATTGCATTTTAGTCGACCTTGATTGTTTCTTCCTCTTTTGGGCTGCGTAAAAAACATCCCTTGTCACATTTTTGTACTCTCTCTTTAATTTGGATCTATGTTGATATATCTATTTTTTTCAATATATATTAACATTGATCCAAATTAAAGAGTATATTAGAAAACTATTACAAATATTATTAATTATTAATTTATTTTAAAAACATTAATGTTTCTTAAATCTTACGAAAACTAAAAAATGAAATTTGATCACCTAGCAACTTTAAAGAACTTAGCTACATCAGTTCCGTTGCTTTGTCATTGCCACCATGCGATGGATTGGTGAGGGCACACAAACCGTTGCCATATAGCAACATAAATATTCATATCTATCCGTTGCTAATATAAAATTTATGGCAACAACTTATCTCTAGCCAATGTGTAGCTATTTAGCTACATAATGGCCACCACATCAAGTCGTAGCTATATTGCTACAGATTTGCCACAGTTTTGGCTACAAAAATAATATTATTTGTTCTGTCGCCATCTTTCGCCATTAGCGTAGCCAATAGCGATGGCTACGGAAATGCTGTCGCCGGTCCGCAGCTAATTCAGTGAATTCTTGTAGTGATTAACTGTACATTTGGATTCTAAATGTTGTTGCTTTCAAAGTGTAGTAGCCGACGAGAGGATCTAGCATGAAAACACAGCGGCGGCAGTACGTCTCTCGACCTTCTTCTTCGACCTCAACGACGAATGCAAAAGAAGAAAACTCAGAGACGATCTCAACTGATCTCATCACCGAAATCCTCTTGAGATTGCCTGGGAAGTCTGTAGCGAGAAGTCGCTGCGTATCGAACTCTGGAACACGCTTCGCGGTCCGTATTTCACGAGCTCTTCTTGACCATGTCTTTGGCTCGTCCTCGGCTCTTGTTCTCCTTCGTGAAAGACCGTGAGCTCTGCTTCTTCTCGGCACCTCAAGGTGAGAGCTTGTCGTCTCCTGTAACCGCAGATTATCATCTCAAGTTCAAATTAGATGATTCATACGAAGTTTGTGGTCATGTTCGTGGTTTGGTCTGCCTTAATGATCTCCGGACGTAAAGGAAAAAAGAAACGGCTCATGTATATGTAACCCAAGCACAGGACAGTTGTTGCCTTTACCAAAAGTGAAGACGAACAAGAGCGTGAGGAGTTTTCTTGGGTTTGATCCGACTGATGAAGAATTCAAGGTTTGACCATAACCGGTGGGGTGAGCATCGAGTTCTGACGTTAGGGACTCGAAAACTTGAATGGAGAATGATCGAATGTGGCATTCCACGTCATTATCCTATTAGTGAGGGGGATATGCATCAATGGTGGTGTGTATTATAAGCTTGGGACAATAACTGGGTCTTGCGATAGTTTGCTTTGATGTGAGGTTGGAGAAGTTAGAGTTATTAACGAGCTGAGGACATGGATCTAAGTTTGGTACTCTTAACTCTTGTAAACTACAAGGGAAAATTAGGTGTTTTTGAAGAAAGCAGACGTTTTGAGTGTGGGTTCTGGAAGACGCAGAGACACATGAATGGTCAAAGCATGTATCCGTATTGCCACTGCCTCTGTGGAAACGTGTAGCTGGAGAGGACGAGTTATACATTGTTGGAGTGGTTGGTGGTACTGATGAAGTTGTCTTGTGGCCGGAATCTGTAAATCCGTTGTATGTTTACTACTACAGCATGGAGAGGAATACTTTCAGAAGAGTTGAAATCAAAGGAATGGACGCGGTTAGTGACTATAGAGAGGACATGATTCTAGACTATGTAGAGGACGTGAAGCTTATGGAACATGTTTAGGACTCACTTAAGAGTGATAGGTCAATCCGGTCTTTCCATTTCTAGCATTTCCTGTTTTTGTTGCTATCTTAAGTAAGAAAAGTGAAGTTACTTTCAGTTTATATGTTCAACGAGAGGGATGATAGAAACTCCTGTTATCACAAACTCTTCAAATAGTAATCCGAAACAGACAAGTCTAAGATGACACCTTTAGATTTCAAGAAATGATGAGAATGTTAGTTATATGATATCAAGCAGCAGAAGAAGAAGAAGTTGATAAACTTGAAAGGCTATAGTGACTGGATTAGTCAAATTATCAAGAAGGTTTCTTGTTTTCACACTTTGCTAATTGGATAAAAAAATTACTTGTATTTGCTACTCTAAGTAAGGGCTGTGAAGTTACTTGTGTTTACTATGAAGTTACTTTTACTTTAGGAGTTATACTTTCTCCAACACCTTATCTTACAGCATATTCAACGAGGTGGATGATGTAAACAAATGTTACAGCAAACTCTACATATACACTAATGCAAAACAGAGAAGTGTAAGATGCGCAAAATCAACATGAGAAGGTTTCAAGATTCAAGAAATGACCAGAATGATAATTATCGACAAGAAGAAGTTGAAACTTGAAAGGCTATTGTGATACGTTGCATGACTCTAGACTATGTAGAGGACGTGAAGCTTATGAATATGGTTAGGACTCACTTGTAGTGTTGCTACCTTAAGTAAGAGAAGTGAAGTTGGTTTCAGTTTATGTGTTACGGTTCCTATTTCTAACATCTAAACCTACTTGATATGAGTTGTAAAAAGCTATATAACTCGTGTAGGAGATTCAACGAGGGGATGATAGAAACTCTTGGTGTTCCCTAACAAATAGCATGATTAAAATGTCTTTGTTCATCATCTGAATCATAGTACCATATAACTAAACTCACAAACAAAATTTAATAGTTAAGTTAAAACTATAAAAAAAAAAAAAAAAGTCGAAAGAATTCTAAACTAGAACTTGTATTCTAATGTTTTATCTATATTTGTCTATATATATATATTTATCTATAAAGTACAGTTTTCCTCTTTTTTGGGCGCGCCACATCAGCACACACCTATATTTAGCACACATTTACATTTAGAATGCAACATGTCAGTGTTACTTTTTTAAGTTTTATCATTTAATCATAAATAATTATCATTTATTAAATTAATAGAATTGAATAGAATTTGAAAATTCATTTTGTATAAGGAAAAAGTTTATATATTAATCTAAACAAATTTTAATTTTATCAAATTGATTTAAATAGTTTAATAAAAGAATAAAATAATAAGAAAATGAATGCGATGAAACGAGATGGAAATGAATAGGACGAGGCGGAACAAGACGAGGTATAACGAAAAGGAAATGAATATGATGAAGCAGAACGGGATGGGAATGAATGAGACGAAGCAGAATGAGACGAGAAGAAACAAGACGAGCTATAACGAAAAGGAAATGAACATAAGAAAGCAGAACGGTATGTTAATCAATGGGACGAGGGGGAAGGAGACGAGAAGAAACAAGACGAAACAGAACGGAAAGAAAATGAATGGGACAAGGCAAAATGGGATGAGAATGAATGGGACGAGAAAAAACGGGATGAGAATGAATGGAACGGGGTGGAACGAGACGGGAAGAAACAAGACGAGGTAGAATAAAAAAGAAATGAACAGAGCAAAATGGGATGTGAATGAATGAGATGAGCGGAACAAGACGGAAAGAAACAGGACGAGGAAAAAAAGAAAGGAAATAAACGGGATGGGAAAAAATGGGATAGAAATGAGACAGAGCGGAACAAGACAGAAAGAAACATGACGAAATGGAATGAGACCAACCCTAATTTTATTTAGTGAAACGAGGCAAAAATTATGGTTATCCTTTCTATTTAGTTACTATGTTTATATTGTGGAAAATGACACATCAGCACAAATCTTTAGTTTATTATTTTTTTCTTTTTTTTATATCGTAATTATTATTCATTAATATAATAGTTTAAACAAGAATTTAAAAAGTCATTTTTATAAATGAAAATTTATGTATAGATCTATAAAAGGTATTATTTATTAGTTTTGGTTATTTGAGATTATACAATTTATCTTTAAATAAATATATGAGCTAATATCAAGATATTATTAAAAGGTGGGACGAGAATTTTGCCTACTCTAACTATATTTAGGGACTAAACTGAAAGAAAAAGAAGGAATATGACATAAGATGTGTAGGAACAAAATGAGATGGGAAAAGATATGAAGGAACAAATTAAGATATGATGAAACTGAAAGAGACGACAAACATGGCAAACGCGGAAAATAATAGGACAAAATGAAAAGAAACAAAATGGAACAAGATAAAATACCAACTTTGATGGACATAGACAGCTTTCTCTCCACTTACTTTTTCAATACCATGAGAAATTTTGGAAATATACCTTAATATCAGTTTTTATTTTTATAAATACACTACTTTTTTTTGGTTTTGAAAACTACACTTTTTAAATATAAAATAACTAAATTATCCCACTTTGAAGTTTCTAACTAATTTAAAACAAAATTTAATAAATAAAAATACAGTTTAAACAATAAACACAAAAGATTATGATTTGATATTGATTTTTTTTTTTCATTTTTAACTGATTTTTAATTCATAATTATCTGCTAAAAAGTTTTTTATTCATTTTTTATTTGTGGCTCAATATTATGGTCAATTGATAATAAATCAAAGATTATATGTGATATTAAAATTTGTTTATAAAAGGTTCCAAAAATAACTAAATTTATTGAAGAAAAAATTTAAACTTTTCTCTAGATTTATCAATTTCTAAATATTAATTTGTAAATAACTGATATACATTTATCTGAAGAAAACAAAATAAGATCATTCATAATAATATTATTTTCGAATTTTGTACTTAATTAATTAATTATTCAACAATGTTTTGTTAAAATAAAGTTAAAACAGTTTTTTTACATACAAAAAGTGTATTTTTCAAAACATAAAAAAATAAATGTATTTTTAAAATATCTAAACATAAATAGGGTATTTTTCAAAAAAAAACCTTTATTTAAACAATCAATTCAAGACCAATTTCACAATTCAATTTCACAATTAACGAGCAATTACTAACGTTTGAAGCCCACACCAGATTTGAGGCCCAAACGACAACCAAATCGTGAGTTTTGAATTCCAGAAGCGGTGATAGACACGAAGCGTAGTGGAGAGTGAGAGCGTGGACATGCAAATCGTGGGCATAAGTTTTGCAGAAGCTTCAAGAACCCTTTGATACTTGTAACTTCTTTGTATCAAAGTTTCAATTTTGGTTGTAAGCAAGCAAAATTCGTGGGAAGCTGCGAACAGCCTCAAGGTTTAATTTCTCTTTTTTCGTTTGTACATTTTGTTTACTGGGTTTTTTGCTTGAAGTTTTTGTTGGTTATTCCATGAAATTGAATATACGAGGAGGAGCTTGGTTTCGTTTTGACCGTTTTCCCCAATTTTTGAGAATTTTGTGTAATGAATTGATATATGTTTGTGTATAGCCACGCTTTACTTGCTTCACTCTCTTTTACTCTGATACTTAGTGATTCTAAATGAGTTTAAATATACGATGACATGACTGTAACTGAACCTGGGGTCAAAGTTCCAATTTTTAACCATTTAACTCGAAAGTTTCTAGGGAATACAAAGATCTTAGCTTTCTTTACCAACAACCCATGTGAATGGTGAAAAAAGCAGATATCGTTCGTATTCAGGTGGATTGTTGCTCTTGAATTTTTTGTTACATTTGATTAAGAAATACTTTCACTTGATTAGTCTTTTACATGACAACTTATGCTTTTAGTGTTTGGATTAATCTAGTTTATAGATTTGTCTGAAAGACTCATTTAGTCTGAACTATTTGAGTATGATTGGTTTGAATCATTCCAACTTTAGATAAGAATCTACATTTTGAATCAACATTATTTATTTATTCATTCACAGATTCTGCCTTTTGGTTATTTTACACGATCAGAAAATGTTTTGTAGCCACTCCGACATATGTTATTCACACAGGTTCTGTCTATTTGCTGCAGAAGACGTTTGTTTTGTTGTTGTTCCTTAATCTTGATCCATTTTTTTTTCCCTGTATCAGCCATGAAAACACGGCGGAGGGAGTACTTCTCTGAGGATAGTCTAACCGTTTCCCGACGCAAATCTCGAGCTTCGACCTCATCAACGAATGCAAAGAAGAAAACTCAGAGACGATCTCAACTGATCTCATCACCGAAATCCTCTTGAGATTGCCGGGGAAGTCTGTAGCGAGAAGTCGATGTGTATCGAAGCTCTGGAACTCCACGCTTCGCGGTCCGTATTTCACTGAGCTTTCTTGACCATGTCTTTGGCTCGTCCTCGGCTCTTGTTCTCCTTCCGAAAAGACAGTGAGCTCTACTTCTTCTCGGCACCTCAAGGTGAGAGCTCGTCTCCTGTACCGCAGATTATCATCTCAAGTTCAAATTAGAAGACTCCTTTAGAGTTTGTGGTCATATCCGTGGTTTGGTCTGCCTTGATGATCTTTGGGAGATAAAGGAAGGAAAGAAACGGCTCCGGTGATATGTAACCCAAGCACAGGACAGTTGTTGCCTTTACCAAAGTGAAGACGAAGAAGAGCGTTAGTGAAGAGTTTTCTTGGGTTTGATCCGACTGATGAAGAATTCAAGGTATTGACCATAACCGGTGGGTTTGAGCATCGAGTTCTGACGTTAGGGACTCAAAACTTGAATGGAGAATGATCGAATGTGGCATTCCAAGTCATTATCCTAATAGTGATGGGATATGCATCAATGGTGGTATGTATTATATAGCTCGCTTTCACTCGGGCCTGCTGTGGGATAGTTTGCTTTGATGTTAGGTTGGAGAATTAGCGTTGTTAACGCAGCTGAGGGCATGGATCTAAGTCTTGTACTCTTGTAAACTACAAGGGTAAGCTTAGGTGTTCTTACTGAAGAAAGCAGACGTTTTGAGCTGTGGGTTCTGGAAGACGCAGAGACACATCAATGGTCGAAGAATGTATCCGTATTGCCACTGCCTCTGTGGAAGAGTGTGCTGGAAAGGCCAGTTATACATTGTTGGAGTGGCTGGTGGTACCGATGAAGTTGTCTTGTGGCCGGGCTATGTATATGCTCCGTTGTATGTTTACTACTACAACATGGAGAGGAACACTTTCAGAAGAGTTGAGATCAAAGGTATGGACGGCGGTTAGGTACTATTTCGGTTGCATGACTCTAGACTATGTAGAGGACGTGAAGCTTATGAAATATGTTTAGTACGTACGTGAAGCTTGAGAGATAAATCCGGTGTTTTCATTTCCAACATTTTCTGTTTTCTTTTGTTATTGTAGTGTTGCTACTTGCTACCTTAAGTGAAGTTAGTTTCAGTTTATGTGTTACTGTTTCTTTTTCTAACATCATAATATATTTATCTACGTGGTATGAGTTGTAAAAGCTATAACTCGTGTAGCAGATTCAACGAGGGGATGATAGAATCTCTTGTTGTTGCAAACCCTTCAAATACTAATGCAATAAATGACATCTTTTGACGCTGAAATCTAAGAGAGAGAAGGAATGATCAAAATGTTAATTATCATGAAACAAGGGCTTCGGTTTGTAATCGGAAACGGGAGTGTGAAATACGTCACTGTCTGCTGGGGGAATGGTTTAATAATTCTCAAGGAGGATGGAATGAGGATTTGGTAAGAGAGTTAGTTTGCGATGAGGAAGACATAGCCTTGGTGTTAAGCACAAAACTTTGTCCTAATTCCTGGGATGGCATTACAACAAAGATGGAATATTTACGGTTAAGTGTGCATATTGGTTAGCGACGCCTTTACCGGAGCAGAATAACGTCCAAACACCTTGGGCAAATATTGAGCTTAACAAGGCAATTTGGAAGACTCCAACAGCACCAAAGAGTAAGCATTTTCTTATGGAAAATTACTTCGGATTCATTACCAACGGGATAAACGTTACGTACGTAAACGTCATATCATTAGAGCTTCGTCCTGTATTCGCTGTTGTCATCAGGAGGAATCAGCAAACCATCTATTTTTCTTATGTCCTTTTATGCACAACAAAATTGATGGATTCACTATGCTTTGACGTGTTTTCGGCCATTGAAGCCTTTTCAGCCTAACCAGCAATTATTAACATTTTAAGCCCAAACCAGATTTGAGGCCCAAACCAGATTTGAAGCCCAAACGACAACCAAATCGTGAGTTCGAATCCCAGAGGAGGCGATAGAAACGAAGCGTAGTGGGAGAGTGAGAGCGTGTGACATGCAAATCTACCCAGAATATTCTCTTTCTCTACATGAACCCTAGAGCACGACCTCTCTCCCTCCATCTCTATCACTCGCGATCGCCCTCTCGCCCTCTCGCCCTCTTCTTTCCACTGTAAACCTCATTATCTGGTACGCCGCAATTCGGTTTCTCCTTTGCATCCTCTATGGTCCGTTTGTTTCTGCAGATTTTGGGAGAATTGGTCTAATTCATGGAGTTTTGGTGTCATAGAGAAGGTTGCTATAGGTTGTTTAGTTTAAGCCTTCGTAGCTCATCAAGCAATTTCGATCTAAGAATTGGTCTAAATGTTTGGATTAGTTCTATGTCGAGAAACAGTGAGAAAGTGCAGGGAAATATTGGGCTAGGAAGAGAATTAGGTCAAGGAAGAAGAGAAAGTGATGATTTTTTTTTTCCCTTGAAATTGATTAGCGGAGTCGATTTTGAATCTTCGATTGAGAGTCGGAGTTTAGAGTTCAATAGCAGAAAAGTTGCCTGCTTTGTTCATTTTCCTTAATATACGTTTGCATAAGAGAATAAAATAAGTCTTTGATTCATGGTCTTGTCTTATGTTGATTACAGTTAGAATACAAGGAAGCTGCTTCTAGTTTTTCAGCAAAGCTCAGAGGATTTAAGGTTACAATACAAGCAAGTTGACGATTCTGGCAGCACAAAGCAATCATTCTTCTTGTAAACTCATCAACCCTTATCTGAATTTTTTCAAGAATTTCACTTGAGAAGTTTCAAAATGAAACAATTGTGGTTCTCGCTACTTCAAGTTTCTTTTTTTTTCCAATTCAGTTTTGGGGAAAGATTGAATTTAGCTGCTTCTTGTTATGACTGAAAATTTGGTATTTTGATAACTCGTGGCAATTATATTAGCTGTGCATTTGGAATCTGAATGTCGTTGCTTTTTTGTTATGCAGAGAGTTTCTCTAGTGGACGATGAAAACACGGCGGCAGCAGTACGTCTCTCGACCTTCTTCTTCGACCTCATCAACGAGTGCAAAAGAAGATAACTCAGAGACGACGATCTCAACTGATCTCATGATCGAAATCTCTTTGAGATTGCCAGCGAAGTCCATAGCGAGAAGTCGCTGCGTATCGAAGCTCTGGAACTCCACGCTTCGCGATCCGTTATTCACTGAGCTCTTCTTGACCATGTCTTCGGCTCGCCCTCGGCTCTTGTTCTCCTTGGTAGAAGACCGTGAGCTCTGCTTCTTCTCAGCACCTCAAGGTGAGAGCTCGTCTACTGTCGCCGCAGATTATCATCTCCAGTTCACATTAGATGATTCATACAAAGTTTGTGGTCATGTTCGTGGTTTGGTCTGCCTTGCTGATATCCGGAACGTAAAGGGAAAAGAAACGGCTCATGTGATATGTAAACCAAGCACAGGACAGTTGTTGGCCTTTACCCAAAAGTGAAGACGAAGAGGAGCTTTAGCGTGTATAGTTTTCTTGGGTTTGATCCGACTGATGAAGAATTCAAGGTGTTGACCATAACCGGTGGGGATGATCATAGAGTTCTGACGTTAGGGACTCAAAACTTGAATGGAGAATGATCGAATGTGGCATTGGACGTCATTATCCTAGTAGAAATAGTGATGGGATATGCATCAATGGTGGTGTGTATTATATAGCTCGTTTTTATAGGGATGATGATCATGAGCCTGATCTTGCGATAGTTTGCTTTGATGTGAGGTTGGAGAAGTATAGAGTTATTAACGAAGCTGAGGACATGCATCTGTTAGGTTCTTCAACTGTTGTAAACTACAAGGGTAAGCTAGGTGTTCTTACTGAAGAAAGCAGACGTTTTGAGCTGTGGGTTCTGGAAGACGCAGAGACGCATAATGGTCGAAGAATGTATACGTATTGCCACAATCTCTGTGGGAGAATGTAGCTGGAGAGGACGAGTTATACATTGTTGGAGTGGTTGGTGGTACTGATGAAGTTGTGTTGTGGCCGGAATCTGTAAATCCGTTGTATGTTTACTACTACAACATGGAGAGGAACACTTTCAGAAGAGTTGAGATCAAAGGAATGGAGGCGGTTAGTGACTATACAAAGTACATGACTCTAGACTATGTAGAGGACGTGAAGCTTATGAAATATGTTTAGGACTCATTTGTAGTGTTGCTACCTTAAGTTAGTTTCAGTTTATGAGTTGTAAAAAAGCTATAACTCGTGTGGCAGATTCAACGAGGGGATGATATAAACTCTTGTTGTTGCAAACTCTTCAAATACTAATGCACTATATGACATCTTTTGACGCTAGATCAAAGAGAGAAGGATTTTAGATTCAAGAAATGATCAAAATGCTAATTATCAAGAAGAAGTTGAAAAATTATAGTGACTAGTCAAATTATTAAAAAACTTATCAATTGAGAGGTTTCTTTTTGGTTTCTAAGATTTTGTATACCATATATTTAAGTATTTGAATTTAACCAAAAAGATAAGATAAAGCTATTTACGTTTTAATTTTGTTTTAGAACAACATATATATTCTTCCTTGAATAATTTTTTTGGGTGAAAAATGTATAAGACAAAAAGTTGACTGTTTCACTATGCTTTGGTTTCATCACACATCGAGTAAAGAAATATGAAATACATAACAAACAAACAAAAATTTCGAAGGGTTAATTTAGTGAATTAGGTAGTTGGTCCGCAACTTGTGCGGGCATAACATTTTTAAAATAATAAATTTAATCAAATATTTAATTACATAAGTATTACTCCCTCTGTCCCATATTATGAGAAAGTGTATCTGAAATTATGTGGATGTATCTGGACTCAAACCACATCCAAATACATCCACATAATTGCAGATACATTTTTCTAAACTGCTTATAATATGAGACAGAGGGAATATAATTTAAGATGTTTGACTTTTAAACTTATAATATAATATGATAAAATCATTTAAGTTCATTACGTTTTGGATGAGTTATTATATACTATATCAGTCAATTTCATATATTTGTGTTCTTATTCTTCATAATTTTTATCTTTCGATTTTTCTAACTTTTTTTTGTTGTTATATTCTTCTATTGTTTTTATTTTTTTCTTATTTCATTTGTTTTGTTTGTCATAAAAATAAATAGATTAGATGAGGAAAGAGGAAAAAAGAAACCCTCACTCGTTCTTTTAGAGATTTATAAGAGATTCTACATTGCACCGGCATGAACTATTTTGAAAAAAATAAAACTAAAAATTTGTATCATTTGAAAAACTATCAAATTATACTCATTAAAAACATCTAAATATTAATACCAAACCAAATGTATTAGAAAACTACTTAATAGTTTATATACCATTTTATTCAATTTCATTAGTTTTTTTCTTTCAAAATCTTTCATGAGTTTTATCCTACACAAAAACAATATTCGTTACTCCCTCTGTCCCACTATATAAGCTGTTTAAGGTAAAATACAAAAACCAAGAAAATTAGTTTTTAAAAATAAAGTATTACTTAATATATAATTCAACCAATCATGAAGAAAGACTACAAAATATAATTGGACACACAACATCCAATAAAGTAAAACGTGCAAAACAGTTTATAATTTGGGACAATTTTTTTTTTCCAAAACAGCTTATAATATGGGACAGAGGGAGTATTATACAACTTTCATTTATGCAAAAATCAACTAAACTCCGACGATCTCATTTGTCTATGTCACATTCTTCTTTTTCCGTTTCTTCCGATTTTTCTTCGTCTTCTTCTTTTCTTTCTATTTTTCTTCTTCCTTGTATTATCATTCTTCTTCAATTAATTAATCGTCTACGTATCACTTGACTCTCTTTGATTGTTCCTTTTCCCAAATTCTTTCCTCTTTCATTAGTAACTTTTGTTTTCTAACTTTTTATTCTTCTCGTTTTTAATTCCTATTTTTCCAACTTTGACTTCTTATTCTTTATGTTCCTGTTATCTTTTTATTTTCTCCTTTTTCTTCATCGTCTTTGTCTAATCTGTCATTTTTTTATTTTCTAGTGGTTTTTATTCACCTTCTCGGCTTCTTCTTCGTCTTTTCTGTATGCGGCTAATTATTCCTCTTCTTCTTCTCCAACAATCGCAACTTTTTTTTTCTCTTTTTATCGTCTTTTTCTTTTCTCTTTCTCTTTTTCACCTTCTCATTCTTGTTGGTGTTCTTGTTTCATCCTTTTTATCTTCTACTTCCTTAGTTTGTTCTGATTTTTCTTTATTTATTTTTTTTCGATATTTTTTCGTTTTCGAGTATTTCATTTACTTCTTATCACATTCATCTTCTTCAGCTTCTTATTGATCCGTTTTTTGTTTCTAGGTAAATTGACTAAATTTGAAGGATAAATAGCAACTGACTGCTATATATTTCTATAGAAAAATTCCTTTATCAATTTCTTAAACCATATTCAATTAAGAATTTTTTTTTACAACTCTTTTCATTTGAACTAAATATTTTAAGCTTAATTTGTTATAATTGTTGTTGTTGTACAAAAATTCACTTGAAATTTAAGAATAAGAAGTGCTATTATTTTATCGATATGATTTGAGTAAAAGATTAAACAATATAGTTGTTTTTCTATTTCCCTTTTCATTAGAATTTTCAAAGACTAAAATTTTCTTTTTTATTAAAAATTTCAAGAACTAAAGATTTTTAAAACACACACAAAACTAAACCCTACTCCCACCAACATAAACCCTACCTTCTAAACCCTAACCCTACAATAAACACCCCCCCTTCCATACAGTACACCATACCACATAATAGACAACTCTTTTCATTTTGAACTAATATTTTTGGTTTAATTTGTTATAATTTTTGTTGTTGTACAAAAATTCACTTGAAATTTTAAGAATAAGCAGTGTTATTATTTTATCTATATGATTTGAGAAAAATATTAAACAATTTAGTTGTTTTGCTACCACCTTAATTACCCTTGTGCAGATACAATATTTTTTAAGCATAATAGACAACTCTTTTCATTTGAAACTTAGTATTGTTTCCTAAATTTGGTGTAATTGTTGTTGTTGTTGTTGTACAAAATTTCATATGATATTTTAAGAATACACAATATTTTTATTTTATCGATATGATTTGAATAAAATATTAAATATTTTTTTTCATTTTGCTATTTACCTTTTCATTAGAATTTTCAAGAACTAAGGTTTTCTTTTTAAATTCAAAATTTCAAGAACTATTGATTTTAAAAGCACACAAACATCTAAACCCTACACCCACCAATTTTATTTTTGTTTCACATTCCAATTATATTTCTTCTTTGATTTCTTTTACCACTTGTTCAAGTTTTCTTATTTCTCTCAAAGTTTTCCATCTTCCATTCCATCCTTTTCTTTTCTCTAATTCATGTTTTTAGTTCTTGTCTACGTTTTGTATTTCACTTATAATTCATTTAATAGTCTAGATTTTTAATTCACAAATTCAATTAATATTAGTTTAAAACATTTTCTTTTTAATTACTTTTCAAATTTTTGTAATGTTTTTTATTTTCCAAGGAAGTAATAGCTTAACATTTTGTTAATTTGATATGAACTTATAAATTGTGAAAGCACAAAAAAAAAAGTTAAATTTTGTAATGGTTGTTTTCTTCTCCCTCTTATTCTTTTCCACTAATCCCATCTTTTATTTTTTTCTTCCCTTTTTTTATTTGTTGTCATCATCTTTTTTTGTTCTTTAATAATTTCTTCTGTATTCATATCCTCCAACTAACTAATCTTTTTTTTTCTAATTTCCTTTCCATTCTTTTTTCCTGTTATTCTTCTTCCTCATTCCCCTTTTTCTCTATCTTTATCATCTTAGTCTTCTCTAACATCATCTTATTCTAGTTTTTATTTATCTCTTATTTGTCTTATTTCCCTTCACATTTTATTTTTTCTTCTTTGTTTTTTTTCCTCTTAGAGTTTTCTTCTTCTTCTTGAAGATTCTCATCTTCTTATCCACCGTCTTTTTTTCTATATTTTATATTTCACTTATCAATTCATTCGATAGTTTAGATTTTCAAGAATTCGTGGAATAATTTTTATCTTTATATAGTCGAGATATTTTTAAAATCTATTTAATTTGTGTTGTTATCTTTTGATTATGGATTTGCTTTAATTGTTTTAGTTTTTTTTTTCTATTTGTGAGTGTATTTTGGAATGGTAGATATAAAGTTATAATCAGTGATTTTTAATTTTGATATAATTCTATTATAATTCAAATTTTATAAAAGTGCACCATAAACTAAACCCTACACCCATCATATAAACTCTAAACCCTAAACCCGAACCCCACATTATAAACCCCTCCTCTCCCTAATTAAAGAATCTACACCCTAAACCCAAATCCACATTATAACTCCCGCCTAAACCGCACACGTGAACCTCACATTACAAATTAGTTATGGATTTCCTTTTATTTTTATTTCCTTTAATTAATTTTTGTTTTCTCCTATTATTTTTTCTTCAATAATGATCTCATCTTCTTCTTTTTCTTCCATTTTTTATTCGTTGTCATCATCTTTTTTTTTCCTGCTTCTTTTTCTTCTTCCGATTTTTGTTCTTCAATCGTTTCTTGTATCTTCATATCCTCCAACTCACTACTCTCTTTTTTTGTCTCTAATTTTCTTTACATTCTATTTCCGGTTTTTCTTCTTCTTCATTCCCCCTCTCTCTCTATCTTTATCATCTTCGGCTTCTCTGACATCATCTTATTATAATTTTTATTTATCTCATCTTTGTTTTTTTTTTCTTTACATTCCATTTTGTCTTCTTTCATTTACTTTTCCTCGTGTTCAAGTTTTCTTCTTCCTCTCGAAGTTTCCCATTTCTTTTCCATCGTCTTCTATTCTCTTGCTCATATTTTTCGTTCTTGCATACGTTTTGTATTTCACTTATCAATTCATTCGATAATCTGGATTTTCAAGGATTCGTGAAATAGTTTTTATCTTTATATAGTCGATATCTTTTAAAAATTTATTTTTGTTGTTATCTTTTGATTCTGTATTTGCATTAATTATTTGATTTTTTATTTATTTGTGAATGTAATTTAGAATGGTAGATATAAATTTATAATCAATGATTTCTAATTTTGATATACTTCCATAGTAATTCAAAATTTTTAAAATGCATCAGAAACTAA